CCGAAGATAGCCCGGATAATGGAATTTGGCCAAGTGGCTGTGGTGATTGGCTGCTTTTAGAATCTTAGGCAGAGGCCTGGCTACCAGCCTGTTTGGGTTGTCTGTCTGGTAGTTAAGCTTTCGAGGTCAGAAACAAGAGCGGTGGGAAAAGATCGAATGTGCCAGTGTCTGCAGTCCCTCAGAGACAGGCGAGAGAGGCGTGGGGATTGGAGGTGTGTGAGCGCGCGTGTGCGTACGGAGTACGCAGCAGGTATGTGTGAGAAAAGGAGGATGGTGAGAATATTGATCGCAACCACTCACAAAGTATTGATGGAGTCGCGCGTGAGGGCTGAGGAGGGTCCCTTGACCAGGTTGTTGGACGTCATGGGGAGACTATAACCGCCCAAGAAAGAAAAGAAAAATCATAAAACAAGATGGAAGGTTATTTTTAAACCAAAATTTACGTCTAAGGGGGGGAGGGGGATTCCAGCGCATCGGTGTACAAAGGAATGAAGTGCCAGAAATGCGTCCAAGGCCAGACGTAAAGGCAGACGGGAGTGCTTTGGGGGCACATAGTCATATGTATGTACTATGCATGTATGTATGCTGTATGTATGGCGGAGACCCGGGATATCAAGGACCAGCGAGGGTGGAGAGAGAGATGTGAGAAACGGAGTGGAAGAAGGGAGCCAGGGATGGCCAGTTGGGCCAGATGGGAATATGGGCCACCTTGACCATTCCCCCCCCCCCCCCCCCCCCCCCCCCTTCCCACCATCCTAAAAAGCCAGAGTGACCATTAACCAGTAGCGAATAAAAGAAAATAAGGGTCCGGGGGATCGCCCACTAGAGAATTAGCCCTTGTCCAGCGGAAGCTAAGAAAAACAAAGCACCGTCTCGCACCCACACGCGTAATAGTACTGCGCAGTAATGAAATAACCAGATCAGCTCGACAAATCCACTGCTAAAAGCAAAACTAAGGCTGGGCGAACACTTCTTGAAGCATATCGCGAATAAGGTGCAATAGTAGGCTGAAGACAGACACAATGACGTACCGCGATATATGGTGGATGGGAATGGCGTGAGAAAAGCAGTTTCGAAGGAGGTATTGAGAGGTATTCGGTACGGCATAGTTCAAGCCAAATGCAGGCTGATTGATGTTGGTTGGAAAGGCACATCCTTGTTAGGGATCCTCCCCTCTCTCAAAGGAAATGCTCGATGAGAGCATATTCGGATGATCTGCACCAACAAACCTGCAATATCATCCTCACCTCCTTCCTTTTTCCTCTCTGGTTCCCTCACTTCCAAGCTGACCGCTGCCCATGGTAGAATGCATTATTCCGTTCCACAGATATGCTCACTACCAGAACGAATTAGCCTGGACTCGCTTGCTAAATCTTGCTAATGGGTTTCAGTACATACTAAACAGCAAGAGGAAGATTGAAAAACGTATGTATGTACCTAGCTTGCTCCCGATAAGCGTCATACTTTCTTTTTCCCATTTCCTTTCTCTCCCTCTCTCTCTCTTTGCTTCTTTTCTCAGCACTGTTCTCTTTTTTTTTTTTTTTTTTTTTTTTTTTTTTTTTTTTTTTCAAATTCAGTTTGTTGTTACTTTTCGTTTTAGCCTTGACTTTTGCAAAATAGACTTGGGGACCAATAGAACAGCGTGATATTGAGAATCTGTAGGAACCACACATAGAGATACTTCATAGTCATCCGGGCTATTTTTGGTATCTTCGACTTGGTCGTGGAATTAACCAGGGTAGCAGTGGGGAATTATGCGCCAGGCCGGACGGGCGGCCCAATAAGCCAGCTTTCGGAGATGGCCTAGCCCACTCAAAGCCGAATTTGATGTATACATAACAACATGCTATGGCTGAGCATCTGATGCTCTAGGCATTTTCATGAGGGTAACCCTTACCCCCGTACGTTTAGGATCGTGTGCCGAAAAGAGCTTATTTAATGTGGTCTCAGGGTCATGGGAAAGACCAGAATTACACCGTAAACGGGTTCTTCTAAGGTATTAACGTATCTTGGTGTTCCGTACCTGACTCGAACATCTTGCGTTCAGACGAAACATCTTACCTCAGGACAAACAAGGATGGATACATCAACTTGAACGGCATCATTGGTGGGAAAACATAATCACACTCCTTTCGCAAGGTGGTAGTTATGGTTGGATGTCCGGAAGACCTTCGAGCCTCGGCTGAAGCAACATCGATCAGTCTACCTTCCCAAGGTCCAGGAAGAGGACCCAGTAAAAAAAAAACAGTCTTATAGAGGATAAACGGCAAATCAGCTGGATTAGCCAAAGACTAATATCCTCTTTTTTTTGCCCTTTAGCCTTTTTGCTTTGCTCCCCGCCAGGTAACGGACGTTAACCGGGACCACTTCTCCATAAGTATAATAGTTGATATAAACCGTGGGGGGAGGGGGGCAGGAGGCCCCATTCCTTGAGGGACGAGCCAGCAGTTTCCACCTCTTCTGGGTATATTGACAAGGATATTCCCGTAGCTATGGTCCACACAATCCAGGCACCTCACGTGTCGAGGGTTCAGATATACGGGAAATAAGCGTATATATGTAGCCGATTGTATATGTGTCGAAGCCTATCTCGAGAGGCCCAGGGCAGACGCTGCGACGGTTTCTAGCTCCAGTCGCGATCAACAGCCGCAGCTCTGCAAGCTCACAGTGTGCAAGAGGCGGACGAAGAGGGTCAACCGCGACGCCACAAGCCAGGATTGGCGACTGAAAGAAGGAAGGCCGAACTTGGATCAAAACACTAGTAACTCCATCAATCACAGGCCAAACTCCGTAGTAAAATTCAATATCCCTTCTCCCTTCGGTCTCCTCGCTGTCCTTATCTTGTCGGTTGTGTCTGCTTCAGCCAGGCCCAGCTTGGCCGTCGGTTAGCCAGTTAGTGAGAAGCCAGCTGCGAAAAAGCAAGCAAGTAACTTAGGGAAGCCAAATGGGAGCGAAAAGCCAAAGAAGCAAGGAAAAACAAAGCGGGCACCGCGTAACTAATTAATGGGCCAGAAGAACCAGGCGATCGCCTCGACCACCGCCCGGCTGGCCTGACTATTGGATGGCTGCTTTGGCCGTCTGCTTGCTGGCGCTGCTGGCTTGCGAGGACTTTTTTGAGGATGATGAACTTTCAGGCGGCGCAGATGATCGACGTGAGGTTTGACTTGCCCAAAGCGGGCGTGTTTGGCCTGTTTGCACGTGACGTTGCTTTTTCTTTCCCTTTTTTTTTTTTTTTTCCTATCATCAACTTCGACTTCAAATCCCAAAAGTTGCTTTGCAAAAAAAAAGACATAGCGAGTTATTACGGTTCGTTTCTTTTTTGTCCGCCAGCCTCGCCTTTCTTTTTCCTGCGACCTTTTTTGCGGTTTATTCCAGGCTGGACGGCTACTGTGCTGGTTCTGGGGGAAGCTAGTTTGCCGCGCTATTGTCCATGATTCAGGGCCGGAAGGGCGAGCCAGGGAGCGAGGCAGCAGGACGGCTGCAGGTGGTGAGAACCAGCTGAGAATTCGGCCGTTCGTGAGTCGGCTCTCTAACAGCTGTACGTTAGGAAGCTAAAGCTTGAAAAGAAGGTTGTTCTATCCTGCTCGTGCGCGCGTTGTGTGGGCGGAGCTGCTCTGGGAGGACGAGGGAAAAAAAAAAGAAGGTCGTGAGGTCGTATATGACAATGTCTTGCATGTCTGCTGTCCTGGGCGTGGTACAAGCCAGCACCTCTGCATTTTTGCACGACGGCGGTGGATAATCCAAGAAAGGAAGAGGCGTGCTATTGCAACCCTCTTCGATCTTGATTACGGAATGATTCATACCTACTCAGCCTGTCTTTGACTCTCGGATTTCCACTTGGGCCAGGGTAGACGCCTGTATAGTACTCCGTTCACTGCGTCTCCAAGCCAACGAATACCGCTGGGGCCTCTATCCACCCATTCGTCGACGGGTACCTACATGCATCGACCGACTATGGGGCAGGGTATCTTCGCTTGGAACTTCAAGGGCGTCTAAAATCAAGAATCCGTGCATGCCCACCAACTCCTAGCAGACCAGCTTCATCTTCACTCTGATGGAAACCGAATTTCCATCTTATCCTTGACCATAAGCTACGAACTACAGGGCAAATAACATACCCTGCCGCCGAGTTGACGCGACTCCATGTTCGAATTCGATTCTCCTGTTAGGGAAAATGGCCGTTCGTCCGTTTTTTTTTTGCCCCCCCCTTATATGCTAACTATAATACTACCCATGCCCATTCTTCCTCCAATCATCAGTCCTCTCACAGACCCTTGAGCCTCCTCTTTGCCGTGCATCTTTCACGCACTCTGCTCAAAAGAAGAAAATAAAAAAAATAAAAATAAAAAGACGTTGAGCGCTGACTTTCGGCTTCGAGGCAAGGTACATCTATGTGTGACCCTGAGGTTGCTTTTGGTATGTATGTGCCCATTCCGAAACTGAAAAGAAGTTGCTCAGAACACAGCAGCTATTTTCTTTTTCTTTGACATTTGTCTTTTGGCCTTGTTACCTCTCTCAACTCCGTACCCGCTGCATATAGCTAGATCGACAGTTGAAAATTGGTTTTCTCGAAATAGAAACAATTATCAACTGCCTGTCTCTATTGCGAAAGATAGACCTTCTTGCATTGCTGCTTTTCATGCCTCTCAACGTCATCCGAGGTAATGTACTCTGTGCTATCTTTTTCCCCTTATCCGAGAGACTCACTTCTATCTCATATGCCAGTTCTTGACCTCGGTCTTGGGCTAACAATTTTAAACCAGACTGTCAGCAGCCCTTCCCTTGCACTATCAGCAGAAGATATCGGGTTTATCCACCTGCGATTCGATCTTAGAAGTGCTCGAGGCTCCTCAAACCAATTATTATATTCAATAAGGTTATTTGATGTGGATTTCAAATACCTGATTCGCTGGTAAAAACTCCATATGTGACAAATACACAACTTCCACGACTCAGTCTCGAAAGTGTTGACATCCACATGGTCGCCTTTGTATTGCTTTGTACCTTTTCTTTCTCCAATCTCGCAGCCGGGCTCCCTACCCGCCCAAATGTTTTTTTTTTTCATACGTTGCTGTGTCACTGTGGCAAGTGACAACTCTTAAACCAAATCCAGCAGCCGGGATAGAAAACAAACTTAACCCATAACCCGAAAGGCCTCAGTAACCGAGACATTCGCCATAACCTTGCTCTCGAGGAGATCCAGGTCCGTGGGGCCCATCATGGCCATTGTATGAAGCAAGGAAATCAGATATCAAAAGCCTCAGTCAATACCTGTCACAAAAAGCCGTCTTGGTCTGCTCTCGACTAACCACCTTCAATATACCCATACCTTTTCAAAAAGCCACAGAAAATAAATTTACAAGATCTCCGTGACATGCACTTTAGTCGAGCTTTTACAATCAGAGCTCCAAGTGTAAGTTAGTCAACCTCTACTTTTTTCTGACATATCGACCGGAGGCACGCTCATGTTACATTAACCGTTGAATACCCGCTTCCTCATTCCCGATCGGCTCCACCGGAGACAGCCTCTTTTGCAATGTTTCATTCCGTTCTCGCGATGTTTTGGATACTGTCTGGGGACCAATTGGCCTTTAGCGAACTGGTTACATGCCCAGAGAATTGTTATTTGTTATTCGAGGCCTTGGAAGCTATAGTGGTTTTCAAGAAGACTAGGTATCTATCTTTTGGGATAACGGCCCCCTTGCATATTTTTTCCATGAAGGGGGCTGCCTCATGCCACTTTCGCGCAGGTCACGGGTATGTCGACCCGTACATCATATTTACCCAACAGGAGTTAGCATAACTCCTGAATTAGCCCGAGCTAATGCGTGTACACGTTGACCTCGGTTTCCATTTGCCGTATATCCCTTCCAGCTTCATCAATGAACACATATGCTGCTTTCATATGTATCACTCCGGGTTTGTAGAACATGCCCTCATTACGTTCCTCAATCTCCACGTGAATTCAAGTTGCTCCAACCATAATTGAAATGGATGGTTACTCTTGAGATACCCCAACATAGAAATGCTGTGCTCGAGATACGTTCTCGACGTGAGCGTTGGCTCCATGTACAGAGCACGCAAGACAAATAAAGGACAGACGGAGAATGTTGGGAAAAAAAATCCCTCTCGAGAAAACTAACCGCAAACCCGGTCCCTTTACTGGCCTGCAAGTATTTGATTCTTGCATACCCGTGCCCGTTGCATTGTGAAAAGAATGAAATATAACAAAACGGAAATAAGAAACGAAACTAAACAAAGCCATTCTGCTTTGTAGGGTGAATACATGAAACCCGCGTCGCAGAGAGGGCAAGATCAACTGACTACGTAGATCAGGGGAACTGTCGAAGTGACATCCCTCATGGCCTCTCATATCATCTCATACATGGCTCGGTGCCTTGGCAGACCGTCTATGAAGCAGCCTTCCTTTGCCAACAGAGAAAGGCATCTACAATGAATTTCCTTGTGTGCAACAAAACTATACCGTCCCGTCAACGCCTGCTAACAGTTTTTCTCTAACCAGTAAAGAACCTGTCCGACAACACCTAACCATATCCGAGATGATATGCATGAAGCGCGAAATTGATATTAAATCTGATTCTGTCTCACAGGTGCACTTATATCTCGATCAATAAACACACGCACGGCACGCACGCAAGTTGTGGGCTAATATGCGGAATGCCGAAGGGGCGAAATTGAGAGAACGGCCAGGGTCCCTTTTACGTGTCAACCAGGTAGAGGGAAGACTAGGCCCCTGATAGACGGGTGTGCAAGAAGTAAATACCGGTCGATATGCAAATAATAATTTCGACAGGAGCACCTTGCACAGCGGCGTCTTCAAGCCGTGCCTTAACTGGTTGCTTCACGGTATACACCCCAGCATGGACATGGGGCGTATTCGCCGACGAGCTATGATTGGCGCAAGCTACGAAAACCGTTAAAAGGGAGCGCTTCCATTTTTGAAGATCTCGATTCTATCTGCGCATCCATGCTGTTTGTACAATGATCTATCCGTCGAGGAGTGGAAATAAGCGGTGATGTATGATTGGTGATGCAAATGTCACACGCCGCTATGTCAAGGGCAAAGGAGGCGAGCAGTCAAAGCTAGATGTGAGGGAGATGATATGATATCGCTGGGTATACCGTATCACGACGAAAGGTAAGGGTCCTTGTTCCTGTGGTATAACCATTAACTATGCCTCGCAGGTGGTTAACCGTCATAGCCAGCTATTTTCGACAACGTACACGTACGTCTGCTGCTGACTACTTCTCTACAATAACCCAATGCAGCCTACCGTTTAATTATTCCACCGTGTTCCAGTCTTCTCTCCCCCATACCCCATGCTCCATAACGGCTCCTTCACTTTTCGCCCTCTTCTTGACCCTCTTGCAGTTGGGGGGAACGAACCAGACCGGGGAGAGTTGCAAAATTGCCCTGTCATTCCTTGCTTGCCTTTGCCAAAAAGGTGTGTTCCGTGCCCCGTCTGGAGTTGCTATCTCTGACGTTACGTTTTGCCCAGGCCGAGCTTCAACTCTTGGTTTCTTTTCTTTTCTTTTCTTTACTCTTCCTTTTCTTTTTCCCCCCTTCCCTTCTCCTCACTCATGCTTCGGACAAGACCGACCTTCGGCCCTCTGCGATCAAAATCGCTACCAAACTTAGAGAGCGATTATCACGAAGGAGCCAGGGAAGTGGCAGAGCGTTTCGAAGGGAAGATCCAGGCTCACTCAGATCTACCCACTGACCTTCCTGGCCGCTTCAGATTATACTCTCTCCGCGCGGGAGCCTTGTTGAATATTACCTAGATCTCAGTTCGATCAAGGTGCTATGGCCTGCAGATGGACGCCTTGCCTCCTGGTTCGCTCAGCGTCCCAACCCTAGGCCACTATCCGGTTTCGGTTATCCGGCAAGACGAGCTGAGCTCCAAAGCCTGAGGGTGAATGGAAGCAAGTCCGGGGGAAAGTGATTTCTTAGCGGAAACGAATAATCCCGCAAACTCCAGACTCCTCCGTGGCTATTAACCCATCGAGCAGAGGAAAGGTTGCATCTGGGACGGCTTACGAATCTTACTCGGATCCGTATATTGCCTCCTCGATACGCCCGTAGGGGTGACGGGGGCTATGTTCAGCTGATCATATATTAGGATTATGAGCATATCATATATACTCTATTCCATGATCATCGTTGAGCTGTTTTCTTTTCCGCGGGATGGTTTCTTTGTGGGAGATATCAAAGAGGTATGAGGTGTGGCATTGAGGAGGTGCTGGGGGGTGCCTGTAGGTACCTATGCTACTTGATGCAGGAGGCAAAACTTAATGTGACATCGCCTTCTACAAGATGTCAAAGTACTTGCTTGCTGATAGAGACAGACAAAATGTACACATACACACAGTAATTTAAACATGACTACAACGTCACTACAAACAAGCTTTTTAAAGAGGTATCTCCTGACCAGGGGGAGGTGCATAACCTGAACCTCAGCCCTATACAAGACCAAAGAAGCTATATATCATAGGGCTGGACATCAACGACGTCCGTCTGTCCATGCCGCCTTCAGACGTCTGATAGAAACGGCGCGAAGAGCTTATACCAGAGCTGCAGGGCCCTTCTTCTGCCATCTCAAATTGCCCGTTTATGCAGCAGTGACATCGCATACACCCCATATATCACCAAGCCCTACAAGCGGAAACAGAGAGACAGAGTTAAGCCTCCACCACCCTCAAGGGCGTTCCATGGCACCGCAAAGCGTGTCGGTATCATGGTCCACAACCACATGGCGAAAGATTGGTGCTTCCATCCTCAAGAGCCCTGACACGGCACTAAGATAGGCGTGGATTGCTATGGCATGGCACGGCGGCATGGCAAATCCATAGCAGCCCAACAATAAAGCTCACGAGGATGGCACTTTGTGAAGGACTCACGAATATCGAATATCAGAAACGGTGACACCTACACGGAACCATCATCCTCTCCATGTGTAGCGTGGTACATGACCGACGATTGACTTCGAATAACCACAGTAGATGTAAAGAGAAAGGGTGGGTGGGTGGGTGGGAAGGAGGAAGGGGGAAAAGAGGAAGTGCTTTTCTATATCATTAGCATTAGGCCTTTGATTCGCGGAGAATAGAGCGCGGAATGAAATGCAATTTTATCGAGACATTATAAACAACAGCTTTGAATGCCATTTCCCAATGAAAAGAAAAAGAGCAGGAGAGGAAGGGGAGGGCAGGATAAAAATAGATGGCGTCAAGGTAGAGAATTGAAATGAGAGTCATTATTTGGAGTCCGCGCTCTTCTTAGCGAATTCGACTCGAAGAATCAAGTGTCGATAACCAACTACACACTCATTAGTCTCATGTTCAATGGAGGGACCAAAAAGACGGAATGCATCAACTTACAGCCGTCCATCTTGTCACAGGCACGAGCAGCATCACTCCTGTCCGCAAAACTGATGAAAGCAAAGCCCTTGGCCATATTCGTTTCTCTGTCCTTAGCAAGGAAGACTCGCGTGACTCGTCCGAACCGCTCAAACATATCACGAAGCTCTTGTTCTTCAGCCAGCTCGGAAACCTAGTCGATTGAAGAAAAAAGTAACAGATTAGCCAACGAAAATATCCTCACAGAACAGTTCCCAGATATTTGCTTAATTGGAATAACACTCACATTGGTAACACGCAGCGTCGCCAGGTCGTCTCTCTCATACTTGCCACCCATCTTATCACCAACACCAGCACCACCTTTCCTCATAGCAGGAGGAACATAGCTTCCTCCGCTCTGGCCCAGTCCACCAGGAGCTGGCTTATCATCGCCGCCATCCATGTCCATACCCGCACCTCCAGCACCCTCGTCAACAGGTGCCATGGTATCTTTATACGGACATCTGGCAGTGAAATGCTCGCCGTTACAAATTCGACATTTGACCTTCTTGTCCTTCAACTGTTCCTTCAAACTGCCCTTCTCGCCCTCCTTCTCGACCTCCTTGGCCTGAGCCTTCCAGTTCACGCTGGGGCGGAATATAATGTTCTCTCCGACGGAGGTGGTATCGAACGAAGGACCTGGCGGATGACCCTTCTCCAGGCCGAATTTGGCCCATCCTCTTCGCTCAGCTACGCGGGGGTTGACGTGCTCTTTGACGACTGTTGTGCGGATGCGACGGGTGGTCTTGACTTTCTTGCCGTCGTCGTCGAAGCGGTATGATATTACGGTCTTGGTACCGTCTTTGTTTGTAAGTACTTGCTGGGGCGGGAGGGCGTTGGAATCATCGAATTCCTCGTCGTCGGCCCAGTCAGCTGCCCTGTAAAGAGATAATTAGTGTTATTTCAAAGCGAGTACTTGAAAATTGCGCTGTGGCGGCTCTGGGGGGGTATTCTCTCCACGTACTTTGGGGGCTGTGCCATTTTGAACTCTCTTTCTGTAAATACTCTCTCCTTTCACTGGTTCTTTCAAGACTGGCGATAGCAAGGCGCAGGGTAGTGGTTTGATTAAGCAGCTCGACTGTTCGTCTTTTTCTCTACAAAACTAATTTTGATATCAGATTTCGTGGAGTTTATCTTTGTGCCCGCGATAGATTATGTAATCACACCTACGTTAAAAACGCTCCTACCAAGTTTTATACTTGTAGACACACAAATCGTTCTATCCAACGAGGAGAATCGAGTCCAAGATGAGAATACGGATAGATAATAGTTTAAATTGGATATATACAGCGGGGAAATACATGCTAGTATGTAAAGGCAGTCATCCCCCGTGAAGGATCAGTGTACGAGCAATCTTTCAAAGGCCCAACGCACATGAAAACGCCGATCTACCGGCATGAGACGTCGTTAAAAACAAAGAGAACAACAGAAGAAGGGGGAGAAGAAAGCAAAAAAAAAGTCTACAGCTTAGGCTTGGTGAGGTAGCCGTTGCCCTTCTTGAGCCAGAAGACGGCATCATTGACGAGTTCGTCAACGATATCCTTGGCTGGCTTCTTCTCGTTAACCACAGCGGCAGCCTTGCCCATGAGGTGAGGGCGGGCGTTGTCGATGGTCTCGTCGTCGATATCCTCCATGTGTTCAAAGTCGTGCTCGACTGGGATGATACCCTTGCTAGTGAGCTCCTTGATCTCCTCGGCACGGTTCTCCTCCCAGTTGGTGATGTATGCGTTGTTGCGGACTCGCATAGGGCGGCCCTAGAGCATGTTAATAAAAGCTGGCAAAACCCGGAAAAATGGGAGAACAAAATACATACAGTGAAGATGATGGTTCGGACGTTGTCGTCGAAACCGGCGGTGCGGACAGCCTCCTGGTGGTCCTTGGGGGCACCGGCCTCATCAGCAAGGATGAATCGAGTACCAACCCAGACACCGGAAGCACCAAGCATGAGGGCAGAGGCAACGCTCTGGCCGTTGAAGATACCGCCGGCAGCAACAACCTGGACGGGCTGGCCAGTCATGGGGCTGGTCTTGCCCTGGCAGAGCTTAGCAACGGTAGGGATAAGGATGCTGGTAGGGACGTCTCCGGTGTGGCCACCACCCTCACCACCCTGGGCGCAGATGATGTCCACACCAACGTCGAGACACTTCTGTACATGCTTGGGGTGACCGATCATGTTCATATAAAGGATTCCAGCCGCGTGCAGTCGGTCAACGACATGCTTTGGTGGCACACCGACGGCGGAGACGAATAGCTTAGTGCCGCTCTCGATAACAACGGTGATCAGCTCGTCAAGCTTTCCCTTGGTGTAGTCGTAGCTAGCATTGAAGTAATATCCGTTAGCAAAAGAGGAGCCTCGGTACCGCATTCCAGAACAGGGTAAACAAACTTGGTCTTTCGAGCGTTGCCTCCAACCTGTGGGAGCAACAAGTCGACACCAAACGGAGCGTTCTTGTCGACGAGGTGGCTCTTGATCTCCTCTACCTGCTCTCTCAACATGTCTGGGGTGTAGCCGAGGCCGCCAATAACACCCAGTCCACCAGCATTTGTGACAGCGGCAGCGAGCTTAGGACCGGCCGCAACGTTCATGCCAGCCAGCAGAACGGGGTGCCTGATCTTCAGGAGATCCGTGAGAGGAGTCTTGATCTGTTCTGCGCCCACCATAGCCTGGTCAGTGGTCTCGTTCTCCCGTCAAATTCAAGAGTCTTCCTGGTGTTCCTGCGCCAGGTACCGTCTGGAGGGCGAGTCGCAAACTTACGTGGAGAAGCCATGGCTGGAGAGTAATAGCACTGCTCTGAAAAGACGAGTATATATAGTCAAACGGAGCCCCGTGGAGGTAGCAAGAGTCGCAGAGTCGCAGAGTCGCGGGAGATAGAAGTGAAGAAGTCGACGAACGAGGTTGTTGGCGGCTGGCGCAGTTTTTATCCTGTGAAAAAGAGCCTCGGCTCGACGGCGGCGCCCTGGGGTAACCAACGAACTAGCCGAGCTTCACCTGACTGTCATACGAGGTGCAGCCAGAAAGGCCGGGGGGAGCAGCAGGAAGTCGAGCTGCGCCGATGGGACGAACATGGCCGTGTCCAGCAGCAGGGAGACTTCTTGTAGCAGCCAACTGAGAGATTCTGCTCTGCTTTTTGTAGTTATCTTCTTCTTCTACTGCGACCTGAGTCCATCTCGGCGCCGTCGGATCATCCCTAGTTAGAGCGATGACTAAGCAGAGAAATTTCTAGTGGGCCAAAACATAGATGGAACGACGGCGAGCTTGACGGCGAGGTCAACAGCAAACGGAAGAGATGAGCCTTCTTTGTCGCCTGGGTCGAGGTCTTGCTGGCTCCCTGGGCTCGCTCGGTGAGAGACCTAGTGCCCGAGTCTGTTATAGCGGTGTCATCGTGTAGGGATTTGCTTTTTACTGCTCTCTTCTACCCCCAGCCTGTGCATAGATATCTAGACTAACAATACCAAAGGCCCCCATGTTTGGTTGAGCATACCGTATCCACGTCGAGGAGGCATTATGTTGACTCGCAGCTGTCACTTTTGAGTGTATCATTAAGGAAGTACTCCCAAGGCACGCTGTCCCACCGTGGCAGGTCTTTGAACGACTGTACTCAATACAGGCGGAAACATGGTTCATTTCGAGCATCGGGGCTGAAGACCAGACCGACTTGTTGCAATATTTCCTCTAACACATTTGCTACCGTCGGGATAATTGGACATGGTTGTCGATTGGTGTCTACATCCGCTATGGCCACTCCACACCCCACTCAGCGAGCCTTCATTGCTCTTGGAAGCAACTTGGGAGACCGTGTAACTATGATCGAAGAAGCCTGTAGAGAGATGGAGGCGCGAGGCATTAAGATCAGGAGAACTAGTTCGCTTTTTGAGACTGCTCCCATGTATGTTGTGGATCAGGGGGCTTTCCTCAATGGGGCATGCGAGGTAAGTGGTTGGATCCCGCTTTAATAGCAGTCTTTTTCTAAACGCCTGGGTAGGTTGAGACTTCAAAAAGCCCCATGGAATTACTCGATACCCTACAATCGATAGAGATTGACATGGGAAGACGCAAGGTTATAGATAAGGGCCCTCGTAACATTGACCTGGATATCCTTCTATATGGCCATGAAACCGTCTCCAACGACCGGTTAATAGTTCCCCATAAGCTCATGCTCGAGCGAGAATTTGTCTTACGTCCCCTCTGCCAGTAAGATTATCTGATCTTTGACCTCATATCAACATCAATACTAATAATAACCTAGACTGATACCCAATGAATACCACTTGACCGAGGGGAAAGGCAAAACATATTTTTCCCACTTACAAGCTCTTCCTCCATCTAACCCTCCCCCCATAGCGATGATACCAATGCCCGCAGGTCTTCCCCCAATCACCCCTACAAAGCCCTCCCGTAACACTCTTCTAATGGCGGTCCTCAACGTCACACCAGACTCCTTCTCCGATGGCGGGATCCACTCTTCCACAGACCCAACTGTGCTCCTTGAAACAGTCAAGACATACATAGATGCTGGCGTCTCCATTATCGATGTGGGAGGCGAAAGCACCCGCCCCAACGCTGAACCAGTCACTGAAACAGAAGAATTATCCCGTGTTATACCAGTTATAAAGCTCATCAGATCTCTGCCTGAAGCGTCCAAGATCGCAATCAGCATTGACACATACCGTGCTAATGTGGCTGAAGCAGCTGTTAACGTAGGCGCGGATATAATAAACGATATATCAGCTGGCCTCCTCGATCTAGAGATGCTTCCTACCATGGCCCGGCTGCAGAAAACAGTCATGCTCTCACATACGCGGGGAACACCAAAGACAATGAACAAACTCACACATTACCCTGACGGTGTGCTAGCCGGAATCCAATCTGAGCTAGCAGAACGTGTCCAAGCCGCTGAACAGGCGGGTGTTCGACGATGGCGCATCATTGCTGACCCGGGTGTAGGCTTTGCCAAAACACAAGACCAAAATCTGACCATTCTCAGAAACCTTGACCAGTTAAGGCAGGCAGAGCAGCTTGAGTATATGCCCTGGCTCGTGGGGGTCAGTAGAAAGGGGTTTGTTGGTCGTATCACGGGAGTCAAGAAGGCTGATGAACGCACTTGGGGTACTGCTGCGGCTGTTACGGCAGCTATCAGCGGTGGGGCTGACATTGTTCGTGTACACGATGTCAAAGAGATGGCTCAGGTTACTCGTATGGCTGATGCCATCTTCAGGCCGAGCTTGTAGACCTGAAGCACAAGGTGATAGGTGATACTATTCTTTCGACCCGGAATCTCTGTAACTATAGCGGTATAATATACTTGATCTAGGATAGTCACCTGGCCCTTCCCGTATCTTAGCATTGTTCGGGCCTCATTCCCCTCAAAGTTGATTCAGTGTTCAATTATGTCAGCAATTCTTACCCTACCGTCCAAACTAGAGAGGATTAGCTGGGACAACTCAGTCCTTCAATTTGAAGCCATTTGCATAGGAAAGCGGCCCCTATAGAGTAGGTGTGTCTTTCATATCTGGCTATTATTTTGATTATGTTTGCTTAGTCCCCAATGAACGGCAATCTATAGCCGCGATTGTTGAATAAATAACAGGTTCAATTCTAATTGACAAAAGCAAAGTTAAGGCCTGTGCTGGTGCGCCGAAATTTAGATTTAACCACGCCCGCTGGTTTATTTGGGAAGTCCAGGGGTAAGCGGTAAAGTCATAGAAATGCAGGCCTTATTAGAAATGACAGCCTGGAATTTATATCTCATAACTTAAAGGATCACTTGATAACTACATCCTTTGGCAATTTACTCAGCAGTCACCCTAACTGATGACCAATTCTAACTACCAATCTCAGGAGTATCATTTCAATTGCCGACTCGGTATTAATGTAAATTAATCTGGACATCAAATTCAGATCCCATTTGCACAATAGATGGCTTGATTCTCAGTTATTCTTGTTCTCATACTTTTTCATAAAAATTCCGACTTTATTGAATTGCAGTAGAGAAGATCCAAATCATGCTATATTGCCAGTCTGAAGATATATATAGCTTCTCCTTTAGATATTCTAGGTACCGAACAGGGATTATGTACATCACCACTTGATATCATACTAGAGCAAACTGTTATTCATTGAAAAGTAGTGGTGGCACATATGGACATGAATCAGGCTTTGAGTACGAAAAAATACTGGCAAGTGGAACACATAAAGTCATTCAAACTATTCTAAATACATTTTTAAATCGCCCAACAAGAAGAGCACCGAGACTGCAAGGCCAACATTGAGTGTTCAACAAATACAAACGGGGCGAAAAGGAAGAAAAAGCCCCGAGAAGGCGAGGGTTGAGAAACGAATAAGTACACGCACACGCATTAACTCACTGATAACAAATCGTAAAACACGTCTTGCCCACCTACCACCAAGTACATATTCCCAACTCCCATAAGCTATGATTGGACCCAAGTAGTGGTCAAGAGCATCCCATGGTGGAATCCAAGCCGAGAGTCGCTCCCTGCCTTTTTGCTAGGAAAGTAGCGGACCGAAAAAAACTCCATGATGCTAGAGAGGAAACTTGCTTGAGAGAGAAAGAGAGCGCCCAAATACTAAAAGTGAAATTGGGAATGAATCATGACTTATGGGAAGAAGAGGATCAATACTAGATTTTCTTTAAACCGCGCTTAATACTCAGCTATTGAGATAATGACGGATAGCGCCTGTGAAAAAAAGATGTCAGACTGTGTATATGATGAAAAAATGGAATTCAGCGAGATAAACGGTTGAAACCTCACGTACCATGAAGTCTAACAGCGCCATCACCAACCAAGTTGGTCAAATTCTCAAGATCATCGCCCGCGGTAATCCCGAATTTCCGAACAAAGTCCTTAGCTGCCGTTTCCAGGTCGCCGTAATCGTCACCGGCTGGAATTTCGTCTTCAGGGCGGCCAAAGTAAGCATTGCTTGATATCGATGTAGCGCCTTCAAAGTTGCTGAGTCGAGTCTTAGCCTCAGCCTGGGCTACAGGGTCAAACTGCTCTCTGCCGAAAAACTCATCCGATGAAATACCCTTCTGGTTGCCAAATTTGGATCTTGTTTGCTCTAATTCTTCATCTGCATGAAATTCGTTAGTAATTGAAACAAAGAAACAATGGATGAATTAGAAGATTACACGTACCATCAACTGCAGAATTAGCATGTCCAACAGCACCGAATCCGAGTTTCTTTGGAGCTGGAGCCTTGGGCTTGCCAACTTGACCAAAGCCAAGGCGTCCCATACCCATGCCCAATCTCTCAACCTCGCTTGCACTCCGTTCATGACTTCTTGTGGCTCCAAAGCTAGTTCTGGGACTTATTGGAGTAGGAGAAACTATGGATGAAGCAGATTTTCCCTTTGTGGCAGCCTCCTCTTCAGCCCTTTCAGACTCAGGATCGTACCCCAATTTTGCAATCCTCTCCGCTTCTTCTTTTGCCTTTCTCTCTGCCTCGTCAAAATCAATAGCGTCTGCTCCAACAACCTTCTTTGCGCCCAGCTTAGGTCCTTTCTTGGCCCCAAGAACTGATGTTTTCTTTCCAGCGGCAGCGGGTCCCTTGCGGACAGCTGTTGCCGTCCGGACAGCGACAGGAGGAGAAGAAGCATTGCTCTTTTCGGTGCTAGAAAGTGGAGATTTGGGTCGCGATCCGTTACCGTTAGGCCCTGGAGTGAGGAAAGGGGAGCTGCGGCCTCCAGAGGACGGTGTGCCAGTACGTGAAGGGGGGTTGCTTGGTCTTTTGATGGATGGCTTGTCCCAAGATGAAAAAAAATCATCATCCGGATCGCCAGCGGGCGTGGAGGACCCTTCTGGGGTAACTGCTGCAGCCACGTCCGTGATCACTACCTCCTCAGGATACCTATATTAAGTTAGCCACAAGAGGATTATAAGCATTACACCACATGAGCGGTGCCAAAGTCCATTCAGACAGGGATGCAAGACATACTCTTCTGCATCTTGAGCTGCTCGTCGCTTCAATTCTTCTTTGTACTTCACCGCTGCATTGGAGGTATACTTTATTTTGGAGTCCTTGCTGTTTAACGCGGCCGTCCCGCCATGTGACTGGAAATATTTAGTAGCCGATTCATTTCCGCCCACTTTCATAATGCGTAGCTGTTCCCATTGCCATTCTATAATCAATGTCCCATTAGCATGTGCGATCGACACCGAAGATCTGTAATGGGCGGTGAAACACACGGTCAAGATTGGTTGAGCGAACGAATGAGATATGGACGCCGAGGTTTCGATGATTCGATGAACAGTCAAGGCAAAGGTATATTCCAAAGGGAACCGACGACCACGTCGGGTTCTTCGACCCGCAATCAAAACATATCTAGCTGATGTCAGGAGCCGTTGGAACTGCCAGGGGCGGAGAAGCGGAATGGCGGGGAGAGAGACACGGTACCTTGTTTGCGGGTTTGGTCTTTAGCTTCTCAAAAATTTTCTGAGACTGCGCCTTTGTAGCACTCATGGTCAGGTTCTGAGGTATGCCTGGTATCCGTCTCCGGGAGTCTGAGCAGCGGCAGCAGGCCTAGCAAAAGAGCGAAGTCGTTGAAGGCAAAAAGACATCAAAAAAAAGGAGTTTCAACTTCGAAAAAGCATCGATTCTGCCACTCTGGCCGCCCTCGCCGCACCTTACCGTTTTTGGAGATCACGTGGTATAGAGAGATGGAGCTGATGTAAGAATGATATAAGCAGATGACATAATTTAATTGCTTATGTAAGTTTAAAGAGTTCCAGACGGCAGAAGCAGATTTGGAGCTTTTTGCTTCAGACACAGCAACGACGGGGAAGAAAAGACGAAGAGGAAGATGGTGAGCTGAAGAGCAGCTCGTGGAGACACTGGGAATTGATATTCTGACAGATAATGGTTCATTTACAGCATCATGAGTTCTCCAGCCCAATTTCGCCCGCTTCGACCTGAGTCTCTGCTCATGCGCCTGGCCCGGAACAGCAGCAGCAGCAGCAGCCTGGTTACTCCAGTCCTTATACGACATAGCCGTTATGCGACCCAGAGCAGGCTAGGTGGCTCGAAGAATGGCCAGCCAACGCGGAAGTCGATTACTGTAGCCAGCGATGACGGTACGGTCAAATGGGGACAACTTTCGCGTGCAGAGAAGGCTGCGCGAGCTACGCAGCAGTCTGTCAATTTTCTTGTCATTTTGGCCGGGGCAGCGATGACGGTTAGTATGGCGACTACAGCAGTTATTGAACTGCCTAATACGGGGGCATTATGAGAAATATATACTAATTGGGGTATCGATTGCAGTGCGGAGTTTTAACGTTTCTATACCTCGACGTATTTGCGCCCGACAGCAAGACGAACCAATTCAATCGTGCAGTGAATCGCGTGAAAGATAGCGAGGAATGTTTGGCTCTTCTTGGAGATAGCGGGCAGATCAGAGCCTATGGGGAGACGTCTTGGAACAAGTGGACGAGAAACCGACCAATTGCGTAAACAGTCCAACGCCTGCAAATACGGAAATGCAACGGCTGCTAACCAATCCTTTAAGCACCACAATTGAGAAAGATAGGGAAGGCAACGAGCATATGAGGATGAATTTCCACGTACGTCATCATCCTCTTCATGGTCCATTTGACCGAATTCTCACACCTAACACACCATCACAGGTCAGCGGCCCACTCAACGATGGTGTCGTGTTAGTCCACCTGGTCAAGCTGGCTGGACAGAGTGATTTCGAGTACCACCTCCTCGCCCTAGATGTTAAAGGTAAGCGAAAGGATTGAACTTCCATTTTTATCCTCAGCCTTGTGTGCCAAATTGCACGGCTGAATGATTGAATGAATCTACTTAGGTTATCGCCGAGTTTATCTCGAGAACGCAGATGCGGGCAAGAAGTACGGATCAAAAATTTTTGGAATTCGCTGGCGGTAGTTCATATGTCTTCGGTGAGTGTATACTTATGGGTATGTACGATATCGGGTATCTCTACATGTCATGTCACAGTCCACCTCCCAACTCTGAAGTTGCAGCCTTATGGCATTGGTAGACCTGGAACTGGCCTTCCGGTGGAAGTATGTTTATTTTGTGTCTTCATTTTGGATTTTCCTTACGTTAAAGTTGACTCCAGCGATATATGTGCCTTGTTTTTGCGACGGGCAATTAAAATACAGGGCAATTGTATGTATACGCACTTTGATCTCCGTTTATCTCTCGTGCAAATTTGACTGGCCCAAGGTTGCCGTCAATGGATAACCGCGGAGTACTCTGTACATCGTCAAGATCTCCTGCATTGATTGCTGTATGTGTGGGCTGCCTAGGGGGCGCTTTTTTCCTACAAGGTAATTGTTTGGTCGCCCCTCGCATACATTTCGCCTCTTATCAGCCAACACTTGCAGGGATACGATACCCCGGTTTTCCTCTAGAACAAATAAATTACCTGAGTCTCAGAGTTATATTATTTCTTTCACTGGCCTCGCTTCTGGAGGACAGAGGCAGGCCTCTGATTATCAACCAACAGGCCGTCTGCTATGAAATAGTTCAATTAATTATCTCCATACCCCTACCTGGAAAATCAATAGATTTTTGATATGCTGGTACGCCTCTATAAATATAGGCCGGAGTAAGCCACTAGTCACGGAGCATATATGGGGCCGGGTCCATAAATCGAGGATTACAGATAACTAGTAAGTTATATCAACTGTTGGATCAAACCACACGAGCACGCTGAAGGACAGGCTTCGCCTCTTCAGATCTCCACCAGCTCTTTCCATCTTCCCCCGGAAAGGAGTATCTTTCCATGCTATGCGCCTTCATCTGTACACTATACCCAGGCTCCATTGGTGTAACGTAATACCCGTTCCGCACCCGAGCCGGATATTCGAAATGCTCATGTAAGTGGTCCACATACTCCAGCACACTCTTCTTCCCCGTCATCACCACATAGTCAATCGTACTCAAATGCTGGGTGTACTCCGGCAGGCCTACGCCTCCTGAATGGGGCACGACAGGGATACCAAATTTACGAGCCAGTAGTAAGATGGCTAGGCATTCATTGACGCCGCCAACTCGACATGCATCCGGTTGGACGACAGAGAGAGCGCCTGACTGGAGGAATTGTTTAAATATCACACGATTTTGGCACATTTCTCCGGTTGCAACCCCAATAGCGCCGTGAGGCGTGTCTTTAAGGGCTTCACGGATGGCTGCATGGCCTAGAATGTCGTCTGGAGAAGTGGGCTCTTCGATAAACCACGGCTTGAACTGCGCAAGCTCTTCCATATGAGAGATAGCCTCGGGAACTGACCATACCTAAAGGCACAGTTAATAACTCTGTAATGATAACTATCAATCTGGCTTGACCGTATACTTCTGAGTCGTAGGATCGTTGCTTTGTATAAGTGTGTAGTTCGCTTATTTAGGCGAAAGGTCATCCGTATAGGGCAAATGGTCTTGACAAGAAAGATGACAAAAAATGGGTTGACATACCTGATTGGCATCGATCATCAGAACATTTCCCTTGTCGTATCCAATGGCATCCCGAGCGATTGCCAATCGCCGTTTATCCATGTCCAGGTCTCCGCCAACTTTCAGTTTGAAATAACGGTACCCATCCTGGACACTCTTCTCAAGCAGGCTCTTCATCTTCTCCTCATTGTAGCCGAGCCAGCCAGCACTGGTCGTATATGCCGGAACTGCTTGGTTACTTTCCGCCTCCTCAATTCTCTGCCTCTTGCCAGGCTCCACTTCCCGGAGTAACTTGATGGCTTCCTCAGGTGTAAGGGCGTCAGTAATGTATCTAAAGTCAATGCATTTCACCACTTCTTCGGGCGTCATGTCCGCGACAACCCTTCAGACGGGCTTGTTGAGGGTCTTTGCCCATAGATCCCACAGAGCATTGACGATAGCTCCGAGAGCAAGGTGGATGACGCCCTTTTCAGGGCCGATCCATCTTAGTTGGCTGTCAGACACTAGATAGCGCCATGTCTTGCCCCAATCAGCGGTTAGAGATTCAAGCTCTTTTCCAACCAGTAGTGTTGCCAGCGCATCAATGGCCGTGCAGACAATCTCATTACCTCGGCCGATGGTAAAAGTCTTTACGGGCGATAATTTCTAGTCAGCCTGCAGGAGCGGAACATGAAAAAAAGGCAAAAAAGCAAAGGGTAGACCCGACGGTTTGGGTGAGCGATCAGAGCTGAGAGGCAATAATGACAAGTCAAGGCGCTATTATTCTGTTGTACAGGACAAGGCGGCCACATACATACCATACCGTGACCTCTGTGGGCCGAGTCAGTCTGTAGCACGCAGTAGGCGGCCGAGTAGTCAGTAGCTGCATTCATAGCATCAGAGCCAGTGTTGTCCAGCGATGTCTAAGAGTAATTCCCAATGGTCAGGCGCAAGTCATTAGCGAAGGAACACTATAGGACAAGGCCTTTGGGCACGGAGTAGATACGGAGTATTCCGTCGTGAGTAAAGGGAGATCCTTTCCCGGCCCCCAGAAAGAAAGCAACAAGTAAAAGGCATAGTAACATACAGGGAAGCGCACATCGTGCGAAGTGAAGCCCGTGATTTTCATGCTGGTCGTCTCGTCTCGAAAACTGCGTGTGCGGCTGTGGGATTGCTGTTGATACACTCCGTTTGAACTACTGCAAGATCCCTCTGGATGATCGAAGATTTGGCTCCTTTTTTGCGCTTGATGCTATCTCAGATGTGGAAAATGGTGTGGCAGATATGCGACCTGTCACCTTTTCAGGTTTCTCGGCCAGCTCGTAAGTTATATAAGTAAGCGGGCGCTAAACGGTGGAGAGATGCCCGGTGGCTTCTGGGTCCTTGCGCTGCCCAGGGAAGCCAAAGGACGGCCTAAGGCAAAGCCTAGCAAGGGCCTGCAGAGGCGGGGAGGAGGGGGAAGCGCGGGAAAAGGCCCGGCAACAGCAAGGGAAGTTAAGGCGAGTTAAATGGTCTCTGATTCGGGGACTCGGACTCGGTAGAGGCAAGGTAAATCAGTTAAAGCCTAGGTAAAAGGTTAGAGAACAGATGTCTCTAATTAAAGAAAACAGAATTAGTGGCCCCATAGACATACTTATATAGATATCCTTTCAGCTGTTGGCCCCCTTTTCACAGCAACGTTGCTTTATAAATGTCTCAACGCGGCATTTCCCCTGGTTCCTTGGTCTTGCCGTGGCCGCGTTGCATCCTTGAAGCAGCCGTGTTGCATGCATCTGCATCCGGGTACCAGCACCAGCACCCATGTCGAGGTCAGGATCGTATGCTGTCAAATTATATGAGAAAAGCGTAAAAACACTCGCCCGCCGGCCATCTGCAGCACGACGTAATATGCTCAATAATCCGTACCGATGGCCATCCATTGGCTGCGGTGGCTGTTCCCGATGCAGGCCATCTCCAGGACGCCAGGCGGTGGAGCTTTGACTGGGAACGAGGCGAGACTCTTCCAAGCAGTTAAGTTAGCAGCGAAGCCACTCTGATATGCATGCTGGCAGGCCAAGTTTTTTCGTGCATGCAAGCCCTGCAAGGTCAGTAATCCGGGCAGTGAAGCGAATATATCGGGGTGTCAAAAGGTGAAAGTTGAAAAAGACTTCGCGATGTTTTTTTGATGGCCCGGTACATTGCCTAATAGGGCAATCATTTGCATCTCAACGATTTCCGAAGCGCTGAACTCCTATTGGTCAATAATTGTTTTTTATTTAGTTTTCTTGGCCAATCAAAAACCGTTACTGGCGGCTCATTACTAAAAATAGGGCATAATTAAGAATGATTAGTCATGTACATCTTAAGCTGACCCTAAGCATTAAAGGGGCATTAAGGGGCTGTAAATATTAATTAGTACTTAACGGTTAATATACCCGCAGCTCCATGGAAAAATTATTCTGGAAGACCGTTATAAAGATTGCCTCCAGTTGTTTAATCATTGTGTAAACCGAACCATGAGGTTGATGCTGATCCTTTTTCCCTAAATGAATAACCCTTGAATATAGACGACGCAAATCCCGGGTAGAGCATGGGGGTCTTGCACAAGTCCATGGTGAAAGAGATCAACCGCCAGTAGCAGGTTGCATCCTAGATAAGCCTGGGTGTGCTCTGTACAATATAGGTGTGTATAGATACCCCTGAAGGCCCACTGTGACTGCTGTAGGGACGAGACCCAAAGAGTTAATACTCTAAGACTGTGCAGTATTGAAGTAGTCTGTATAGATCGCTGAAGGCCAATTGCCCATGAGAAGGGCCGACAAATGGACAGAGGAGTAAGCCAGACAATGAGACTATAATTGCTATCCACGAATATTTTTGTTCACATTGACATCTAGATGATGCAAAGGAAAGTCATGGTTAACACTCGGACGGGTCCCTTACATCCACTTTCATGCTATTGCAGGTAGTCATCTCCGACTACAACGCGGTCAGGGCGCTAATGTATTTCGTCTCAGGGGAAACTGACTCCTGGGGTAACTGGGCCAAGCCGGCTCTGTCCTAGCCACCAGTCTCGCGATAAATAGTTCATTACCCAAACATGGCCATCTTCTGCCTCAAAAAGCGAGCCAATCTCTTGGAAACGGAATTGTGAACGCGCCGCCACGTTATGAGCCGAGTCGAGATAAGACCTTTATTTTCCTGAGAGGGCAAGGCCGGCCCCTGCGGTTCCCGCCTCGTAAGGACCTTAGGCAGAGCCCCTAGCTTTAATACCTGAGATGAAAGGAACGCTGACGCTATTAATACCTCTCCAGAAGCTCTTTGGATGGGTATGACCGAAAGTGATACGGTATTCGGAGCCGCCTCGCTTGCTAATATCTTTGGGGTCGTTTCAGGGGAATCGATTGCATCACGGCGAAACCTGCGTAGAAAAAGATCTTGGCACACATTTGTCTTATTGATATCGTGCCACAGCATGCGCTGGAGCAATGGAGATGACGTGTTGAGCCAGTAACTAGTAGAGCATGAAGGTCCGAGAACGGAACATGGCTGCATCAAGCAGAAGATCCGTCCCAAATACTAGGAACCAGCATGTCAGAGCATCAAATGGCCACAAGTGGTGCAAGAGATACTAACATCACCAAAAAGGAGGCTAAAGCCTTCTTGCTTTTCTCGTGTACAACTGCGATGTTATGGCGAATTATTAATATGGCGTCGGGTGGGTTAAGTCCTTTCGGGATAATTTGATGCTAAGACCGAGGAAAATAGATAAAATAAATATGAATTAGCTAATACAAAAAAGTGGAGCCACGTTAAGGTTTAAGTGAAGGTCCAAGCGGGGAGTCCCGTCTATAATGAGACACGCTAGCGGAGGCGCTAGTCCTGATCAGTAACTCTTTACGAAGCGCCTCGACCGGGGAATTTGGTCGAAGTCGAGGGTACGGAGTAACATGCATCCAAGTCGAACCCATGCATATACGCCAGGCTCCGTTCCCTGAGCTACTACCTGTTCAGGTGACGGGGTGGGGGGTGGACGATGCATGCCAACAGGCAAGCAGTCACTGTGCTGCTCGGTCAAGCAATTGGGCGATCTCCTTAAATACCAGGCATGGTCTATGCTGGGAGACCATCTTTCTTCACCCTTATTCCAGCTCCCCACGACAGTTGTCTTCTTCCTGAAGTTGAATAGCGATTGTATTGTCTTTTGATTCTTCGTTTTTGTTTTGTTTTCTCCTTGAGCATGGGTTCATGCATAAGCCGTCAGCTACCGGAGGATCAGGAGGAGCGCTGGAGACCCCGACTATTAACCAAATGGAAGCAACGACGGGCATTGAAGAAAGCCGAACGGCATTTCAGAAGGGCTAGCCCGACGTTTGAAGAGACGAAGGAGATCGATACCCTGCGTGCAACAGAGTACACACCCTTGAAGGACCATGTGTATCTAGACTATACTGGCGCAGGCTTGTACGGTGAGAAGCAGCTCCGAACACACTTCGACCTGCTTCGGTCCAGTATCTACAGCGACTCCAGCTCGACTTCGAACGCAGCTGCAATCAAGCGAATCAGAGAACATGTCCTTTCATTCTTCCGGGCTTCTCCGGACGAGTATGAGCTCATCTTCACAGCCAACGCATCCCATGCCCTCAAGCTGGTAGGAGAATCCTACCCATTTACGCCGCAGGGCGAACTGCTCCTCTTGTGGGATAACCACAATTCTGTTCAGGGGCTTCGGGAATTTGCCCGTGGCAAGGGAACACCCATCACCCATGTACCTGTTATGCCACCGAACTTGAATATAGATGAGGCGTTCCTAAAAAAGTCGATCTGCACCAGCTCCGATAGCCATCGACTCTTCGCATATCCTGCCCAATCAAATTTCAGCGGTGTCCAGCATTCGTTGAAATGGATTGAAGAAGCCCAAGCTCATGGATGGGATGTTGTTCTCGACGCTGCCAGCTTTGTCCCGGCAAATCGTCTAGATTTGTCTCAATGGCACCCAGACTTTGTCCCAATTTCGTTTTACAAGATGTTTGGGTATCCCTCTGGCATTGGCTGTCTGATAGCTCGCAAACAGACGCTGGCGAAGCTGCAGCGCCCATGGGTATCAAGTGGAAAATTCCCTACCATGACCATGAATTTACTTGATAGCCCCGACAGCTCCAACGGGAATGAGAACCGGATTGCGGCTCGGAAGTGGCACGAAGTATTTGAAGATGGTAGTGTCGACTTCTTCGGTCTTCCTGCCGTCGAGATCGGGCTTAACCATCTATCCAGCATCGGCATGGAGACTATCAGCAGCCGTGTCAAGCTGCTCGCCGGCTGGCTCATCGATCGCCTCCTCGAACTCCGCCATTCCAACGGCCAACGCGTCGTTATCGTATACGGACCCCAGAATACCGTCAACCGCGGCGGAACTATAACCCTAAACTTCTTCGATCCTACTGGTCGCGTCATAGATGAGCGTGTTGTCGACAAACGCGCTCTCCCTATCAATCTTTCCCTCCGCACAGGATGCTTCTGCAACCCTGGCGCCAGTGAAGCTGCATTCTACCTCACTGAAGAAGCTCTGCTCAACGCATTCAACCAAGAAGCCGCGGCGAAGAAACAAGAGGGCAACCCGAAGACCTTCGACGAATTCCTGCTTGACATGGGTATGAAAACCGGCGGAGGCATTCGTATCTCCCTGGGCCTAATGACCAATTTCGCGGACTGTTTCCGATTCCTTCAATTTGCACACGGATTTATCGATAATATACCGACTGAGACGGACCTCAAACCACGGCCACATTGCTAGTCGAAGTTTTTTGATGGCCGATAATGGTTGATGACTGGAGGATACGTGATAATGACTTTTGGAAAATTCTTAGGTAATGTTTCAAACTGGCGTTGGTGAAGTACACGGTTTATGACTGCATAAGACACGAATCACGAAGCATTTGAGCATTCATTAATTTATGTCTATTCTCTTCAGCTTATTTCTAGATTGACTTGTCAAATGTGATTAATGTAGTGATGTTGTTGTAAGGTTGTAAAGTTTGCATAGTTAAATTTATTTTTATCTTATCTGATCAGCGAGCTAATTGAGCTCACTAATTGTTTCGCCATTCTTGCTGTGCTTTTAAAATAGGCAAAACCAATAGAGCGAACAAAGAACAGCAAAAAATGTCAGTAGTTTCGTTTCTAGTTTACAGATATCTCCGAGAAGAGAAACAACATATACTAAGAACTAGCTTGAGAGGCCTCTCTTTTCGCTCTCAGAGAAAAACACAATCATACGCCACAGCTTCTTCACCAGAACCTCCGCCTCTTCGTCAAGTGCCTAGTTGAATAAATACGTTAACAGATCTGATAAAGAGACAATAAACAACAAGGATATGGAAAACTTACCCCTTCAAGCTGCTCCACGAGATCCTGAGGGTTACCACGCTTCCGGATATGCTCCTCCACAACATCAACCAGCATCTGTTCCTGGACACCGAGGTACTCCATGATCTTCTTCTCAACGAACGGCTTGAGCTGGTCGCTAAGGACTGCCTCATCCACAAACTCCCACTTAACATCCCACTGCCAGAGACCTTCTTTATCTGAAGGGATCTCGGCTGCGAGCTGCCTGGCAGCCTGAGCGCGCTCTTCATCAGTGAGTCCTGCGGTTTCGGCAATAGAATCGAATTTGATATCTGTCAGGGGGCGTCTGGCAGTTGCAGAGGAATCTTCTTCGTCTTCAAGCAGACCCTCAACTTCAGCAACGGTCCTTCGTTGAGCTTTCTGAGCAGCGGCTCCAAGGGATAATTTGAATCGCTGGGGCTCCTTGCGCGGCTGGGTGCGAGATTCCATCTCCTGGGCTTGGCGGGCGAGGAAGTCTTCTGCCATACCGCGAGCTTGTTCTTGTTGCTGGGCTTCTTTAGCCTTTTCTCGCTCCTCGGCTGCTCTGTCGGCTTCGTCCATGGCGGCCTCCCTATTCCGGAATGTAGCACGCTTACGAATCCACACTCCACGGTCAGCGTAGTATTCTTCTACCTTCCGGCTTGCTTCCGTATCATCATTCCACTCCCGTAACCGTTTGGCCATAGCTCGCTTCTCCTCTTCCGCACGCTGTCCTTCTTCCCGCTCTCGATTCTTTTCCCTCTCCACTGCAGCTGTTCTGCTTCGTTCGCGATTTAGCCACCGTCTTTCCTGATCTAAGGCTTGTTTCTCCAGTTCTGCGTTTCGCTTTTCCTGGTGCCTTCTTTCTACCTCAGAATCGCTTGCATCGGTATCATCCTCTTCCGGAATAATCTCCGTTTCATTGTTGACAAATGATACGCCCTTTTGGTAATCCTTTGGAATTTGGTGTCCGTATCCCTTTGGCCCAGATGGGGCATTTGGTACACTTCTATCACGGGGCCCAAGTGGAATCCCATTAGCGCCGCCTGCTGGTCCAGACGTTGAACGTGACGGAGACAACAGCCTGTTCGAACGCGAATGGCCAGCATTCCTAGCTCGCTCTAGAGACTCGATCTCCTCTTCTCGCTTCAGTCGCTCGAGATCCCGACGATTGCTCCTTTCACGGAACGCCGCAATCTCCTTTGCAACAGTTTCTCTCATCTCTGCAGGTATATCTGAAAGCTCATCCTCCACAGTGATCGGAATGGTAATCACTTCAGCAGAAGTGCCATCAGCCTGCTTTTCTCCATCACCCATGGCCGTGTCACCATCCTTGTCCACTCCCTCTCCTTTGACTTGAGCTGAAGGGTTGGTCAGTTCTGCTAAAACAGCCGCAAGGTTCTTCCTTGCAGTTTCGAGACGTGAATGTACTTCTTCTGGTTCTTGAGTATTGTTGGATTCATACTGCTCAAGGTATTTAAGAGAGCTATCATCGACAACAACCTACAAACTTGTCAGCACTATGAAGAAAAAAAAAGTATTGGGATATTTAAACCTACCATTAGTTTACTCATTTCAACTTCTTCATCCCCCTTTTCACCGTCAGACGGCCGCTGTTTGTCGACAGGAACTTCGATATCCCTTAGCACCTCGACAGCAGTATTAAGACTTTCTGGGTCCTCGTACTCTGCAAAACCAAACTTGCAAGGCTTATTGTCTGCATCAGTTGCCCGAATCCAGCGCCTGAGGTTACCCGCCGATCGCAGAATGCGTTCAACGCCTTCGTCACCACCTGTGCCTTCAGTAATACCACTAACGAAAATCGTGCGTACAATTTCATCCTTTGTCGGCGGTTGCAGCTGCATGATGGCTTCACGAATATTCTGACGCTGCGATTCTATTGAAGCGGCGTGGTGCTGGCCTCCCCTGCGCCCTCCCATGTCTCCACCCCGCTCACGGCCACTTTCATGCGGAGTCGTCGATTTAGGAGGGCCTGAAGTGCCTAGGCGAATTACAGGTGCAGAGAAATTGATATTTGGCATGTTCGCGGGAGGCTGGAAGTTTGGTGGAAAGCCGCCGGGCCGGCCTGGCTGTTGGACGTTGTGCTGCTGCATTCCCGGTGGTGCACCGGTCCCTGGAGGTGCCATACCCGGGGGTGCCAATCCTGGTGGACCTTTTCAACGATGAGAAACCACAGGTTAGCTATACAATGTGCAAATTACGCGGTTAAAGGGGACTAAAGGGGACAGGCAAAGCTCACCACCAAGGCCTGGGGGCGCGCCAGGATAGCTCCCAAAATCTGGCGGTTGGCCATACGGCCCTGTAGCTATAGACAAACGGTTAGTATTCGAAACAAGCAAATAAATTGGTCAGTCTTCTTTACCTTGGTATGGATTATACATCCTGCTTCTCTACACACCCTAACCTGGTAGAAGCAAAGAAACGGTAGACAAGCGCTGTAAACGGGTTCAAGGGGCGGTTGGCGCGTATACTCAGCACGGGTAAGCAGTCATCTCTGGGAATATCCTCTGTGCTGTTTCACTTCACGCCCGCTGTCACTTTTCTTGCATTTCTTCTTGAGCCTTCTTGATGCTTTTGATGGAGGTTTTTAGTCGCAGCGGGTGGCCCGTGCTTCATGTCACGTGCCTCACTCTTATTTTTACTTCGGCTTTTATGTTGACGAACGAAATTAACGACGACGACAACGACGACGACAACAGTACAAATGAAGACGAGGCCGAAAAGTGAGGGTAAGATGGAACATAATAGACGAAATCCGTGCTATGGATATATGCTGCAAGAGTTGCATTATAGAAGGACCACGTTGATTTCTATGAGAAAAGAAAGGCCTCCAAGTACAATGCCATCATTGTGATACCCTGCTCTCGTTCACATAACTAGCCTCAAGTGACCCAAACACTTTAATTGATCTGCTGGACTCTGAATGCGAAAGTGCCTTTGTCGGTCAGGAAGTCGGTACGCTTCAAGATCTTGCAAATAATACCAGTTTTGGATTCCTTGATATTATGACTATCAATCATGCTTGATATTCCGTCGAAAAACATGAACTATGATAATCGTATACACTCCGAGAAGGGCTAGCTCCTTGCTTAGATAATTCTCAGTCATGCGAGAAATTGAATACGGAGGAAACGTTTGGCAGACTACCTTCAAACAGGCTCTAAGCTTGTTTCTGATATTTATCGGGAACCGAAGTGACTATCGCGATCTTCGGCGCGTTCCAGTGTGATAACACTGTATTGATTTCACTCGGATTATTACAAGAGTTACAGTATGGCTCGTTCTCTATCCCTGGCAATATTCCCTGTTACGCCTCGTTGCAGTTGTATCAACAGTGCAATTCATAGACTTGAATATATTAAGCACCGATGCCTCGTGATTTCAAAAAGCGTACAGACATTCAGCCGTGCCATTGCAGAAACTTTCCAAATTTCTGAAATCAGTGTGGATGAACGGTTTGAGTAGCGACTAGCACACGGAACAGTTCATGCACATGTATTCAGAAGATACATCTTGTCTATTACTTGATAGTTTATGGACAAGAGAGAGTTTGCGATCCCGGAATATTATAGAAAAGAGGTCAGGATGATCAACCTTATCGGGGTCATCTTCCGCCTGATATACAATTGAAGACAGGTCAAGACCAAACGTGCGAAACCATGTGGTCCTTCGTGCTTCGAAACAAGGTAAGTACCCGTGCAGATCCGGATCTGTCCCCAATTTGATTCGACGGGTCAACCTGGACATACTTGGAACGGGCCGCTACAATTTGGCAATGATAGTCAAGGAGCGGCAGATGTTATCATGCGATAGAGAGTCATTCACTACCTCGAGTCAGCTAACCTTCGGACCGTTGTTCGAGGGGTGTATATAATGTGATCGTCTGCGCAGGAGCTCAAGAGAACTGTCGTGCAAAATCTCTTCTTTAAATAAAAGAAGAAGCAGAATCTCGCAACGCACATTCAAGGCGTTTCTCCTTGGTCAAGGCAAACATGCTCGACTCAATCAAGTCTGCCATGGCAGGAGCCGCTAACCTGGTGTCTGGCCCAGCGGAAAACACGAAAACAGCCCGTGTCAGAGTAGTGAACAATACCACCAGACCTATCGTCGCCATCTCGGTGATTCACAAGTGCAGCAATAGCCACAAGAGCCATCAAGAATGGGCGATGGTGCAACCGGGCAAAGCATCCATTCCTGAAATGGAAGTCGAATACCCAGCTGGCTCTAGTTCTAGTTTCAGGTCTGGCGGCGATAACTCGTGGCTTGCCGTCTGGTACAGCGAGGACCTGCAGGCGCTCTGGCACTCCGAACCAAGAGAGTCGGTGTTTCCGGTCGATATGCTAGACAAACAATCTCGGGAGGAGATTCAAAGGGTTGAAGAAGCCCTCGCTACAGGCAGCGAGCCAGGTTCTAAAGGCGCACAGCTAGCTACTGCGCTGGCAAGGTCAACGACGGATCGAGCATTTAATTCGAACAGTCTAGAGGGATTAGTGCGTCATCAGTTGCGGGATGAGGATGCAAACGAGGTGACTGAGTTGGTTATCAATACCAATGAGACGATGACTTTTAAATCCAAGTCTGGCACCACCGAGGTCAAGGTTAATTCTCAGCCGGCTGCCGCATAGCTCATTAACTAGTCAACCGCTTGACGAGGGCTCCAGCACAGAGATGATTGATGTGTTGGGCTTGAAGTTGTGAGTTACTTTCTTGTCCAGAGTTGCTAAGTCGAATACTCTTTTTTTTTTTTTGTTTCGGGCAGTGCAAGCGACGTGTAATTGAGCCACGACTGTTCAGGTAGCTTAATTTAAATTAGCTTGGTGAATAGCCTGTTTGTATTGGATGCTTATATTGCCCCTTTTTTTTGAGCTTCGTTTGTTGCTGGCCAGTTGCAGTTGAAAGGCTGACTGGATGGCTTGAGCCTGGGCCTGGTCAAGGATACATGCAGCTAGCTTGGTGATGGCTGGGCAGACGGTTAACTCAACGGCTGGTCTTCGTGTCAGCCTCGCATTGTTCCGTTTGGTGTGTTCATTCGTAGTTAGTATTATTGATGAAGGAATTAGGCTGTCTACTAAAAAAGCCCTTTTCACGAGGCCGCTTCTTGTACGAAGAGGAAAGGAACGGTGAGCAGGAGATGCCTCTGTTCGATCAAACGGACATTTTTTTTTTTTTTTTTTCATTTTTTTTTTTTTTTGGCTGCCACCAATCTCGGGTGTTTAACGACAGATTACCTGGGGGACGGGCCCTAATATGGGTACAGTCAAGAATGAATGGACCGCACGAAAAACTATTTATACCTTCTCGTGGCTGCGGCTGAGAGCCCGCCAGGGAGCCTGAAGGGTGAAAAGGGGTAAACAAATACATTGACATATGGACCAGGACTCGTTTCCAGCTGCGATGGTACTGGCTACGGAGGCGAATGGCTGAACCTAAGCAATTTGTTCATGGAGGTGAACAGCTCGTCTGCCTTTTGCCTGGTTTCAGCCGCCCAAGCCCATGGAGGAAAGGTGAGACGTATAAGAGGGAGCTCGAGGCCCGTCAGGGGGATTTATATACCTATTCCCCATCTCAGAATCAGTCATTCGTTTGTTCCAAGCTAGCAAGCAAGAAAAGTATCAGCACATACCCTCTTTATACCCTCTAATATCTTAATCAATTAATTCATATCTTCGTCAAGATGCGCACTGGTATCTTTGCTCTTGCTGCCCTCCTCGTGAGCGGTGTCATGGCCGATGAGGGAGAATGGCGCAAGGTTGAGCCCCATACCATGAAGGCTCTCCGTGAACTCCGTGCCCGTCAGAGCGGTGGCTCTTCGTTCATTCCTGGCACCACCCAGGGCCACGGCAAGAACTGTGTGGACGCCTTTGGTGCTGGATACGAGCTGTGTGCCAACAGCAAGGTCTGCTACAACCCAACTGAGGGTGATGTCTGCTGCTCCGAAGGCTGTATGTCCATGAATTTGAGCCATTTCATCCTGATATCAAACACCTGCTGACCATCTGATAGACCCCTGCCCAAGTGGAAGCTTCTGCTTGACCAAGGGATACTGCTGCCCCACGTGAGTGGTACTCTGTGGTATATATATATATATATATATCGACAAGCAGGCTGCTAACCGCTTTCCAGGGACTTGACCCCAAGGAGTGTGCCAAACAGCACAATGTCGAGCTCCCTCCCACCTATGGCAACGGCAACACCAAGCCCTCCGGCGCCCCCTATCCTACCGGCAGCACCCCTCCCACCGGCGGCTCTCACTCTACCGGCGCTCCTAAGCCCACTGGAACTCTCCCAACTCGCACTGGAACTAGCACCGGCCCAACTGCCACCAGCCCACCAATCTACACTGGTGCTGCCACCCACAACGCCATCCAGGGAGCTGCCGCCGCCATCGTCGCTCTCGGACTTGTCCAGAATTTGTTGTGAAGAATCCACTCGATCGTTCCCTGACCTTCTCTCACGTCTCTATCTGCTGAACGAAACGTAATGGACGGTGGTTGTCGCGGGGGGTATCTCGTATCTGGCGGGCAAAGATGTACTTAGCTTTTGTGTGTCATATGTAATCTAACGCTGACTTCTTCGGTTTCATATCGTCGTTCGACTCCTCTTCTTCCTCTTCTAGGCGTCTTCCACCGTCTTCCAGGCCGTGCTTGTCTTCATCACTGTCGCCGCCGGCCCCGGGTCTGGACAGGCTGGGCAGCTCGCAGGCTGAATAATCCAAGGATTTAGTTGCTCGCTCGTGGCACCGCTGGCCCGGGATACCTGATCAAGAGCCATTCCGGGATAGAGGAACATGCAGGACCCGGTCAGAGCCAGCAGCAGGCCGGTTGTTGCGGGTGTCTCTTTGTCACATATATAGCTTGACCTGGTCGTGGGTTTGTCGACGCGGGAGGTGTTCATTACCTGCTTTTTAAGTCTAACTGCTGCCCCTCAGCTTGACATCATCACCACCTCGAACTCGACATTGAGCCCTGGTACGTACCGACAGCAGAGCAGAGGACAAAGGCCGAGGACGACGAGACCAGACGAAAAGAAGAGGCACAGGATACAGTCGAGATGCCATTCGCACAAGCAAGCAGCCTGGAGGCCTGGAAGGCCCTGGAGCAGCACCATACCACCGCCGGGCGCCACATCCGGGTCAACGAGGAGTTCCAGAAGGACTCGCAGCGCTTCGAGAAGCTGTCTCGCACCTTTTACAATGAAGCAGACAAGTCGGAGACGCTGTTCGACTTCTCCAAGAACCTTGTCACGGACGAGACGGTCTCCCTGCTCGTCAACCTGGCGCGGGAGGCTGGTATCGAGGAGCTGCGCGAGCAGATGTTCAAGGGCGAGCCCATTAACTTCACCGAGAACCGGGCCGTCTACCACGTTGCCCTGCGCAATGTGAGCAATCAGCCGATGCAAGTCGGCGGGAAGAGCGTCGTCGAGGACGTCAATTCGGTGCTGGAGCACATGAAGCAGTTCTCAGAGCAGGTCCGCAGTGGTGAGTGGAAGGGCTACACCGGAAAGAAGATCAAGACCATCATCAACATCGGAATTGGCGGGTCAGACCTGTAAGTCTCCAGTTAGGCCGGGTACTATTAGTTGGATGCATGCTAACTGATGCTGTAGCGGCCCTGTTATGGTGACGGAGGCGCTGAAGGCGTATGCTGACCGTAGCTTCGATATCCACTTCGTCTCCAACATCGACGGCACTCACATCGTCGAAGCTCTGCGTAACTCGGACCCAGAGACGACTCTGTTCCTCATTGCCTCCAAGACGTTCACCACTGCCGAGACGACTACCAATGCCAACACGGCCAAGGACTGGTTTCTCAAGACCGCCAAAGACGAGGCTCACATCGCCAAACACTTTGTTGCCCTCTCTACCAACGAGCAGGAAGTCACCAAGTTCGGCATCGACAAGAAGAACATGTTCGGCTTTGAGTCCTGGGTCGGTGGCCGCTACTCTGTCTGGTCTGCTATCGGCCTCTCCGTCGCCCTGTACATCGGCTTCGATAACTTCCACCAGTTCCTCGCCGGTGCTCATGCCATGGACAAGCACTTCCGCGAGACTCCCCTGGAACAGAACATCCCTGTCCTCGGCGGTCTGCTGAGCGTCTGGTACAGCAACTTCTTTGGCGCTCAGACTCACCTGGTCTCCCCCTTTGACCAGTACCTACACCGCTTCCCGGCCTATCTCCAGCAGCTTTCCATGGAAAGCAACGGTAAGGCTGTTACCCGCAACGGTGAGCATACCAAATATACTACTGGTGCCATTCTCTTCGGTGAGCCAGCCACCAATGCCCAGCACAGCTTCTACCAGCTGCTGCACCAGGGCACCAAGCTCATCCCCACCGACTTCATCCTCGCGGCTGAATCCCATAATCCCGTTGAGGGAGGCAAACACCAGCGTATGCTTGCATCCAACTTCCTCGCCCAAGCAGAGGCTCTCATGGTCGGCAAGTCTCCCGAACAAGTCAAGGCCGAGGGTGCCCCTGACGAGCTGGTTGCACACAAGACCTTCTTGGGCAACCGCCCTACCACCTCCATCCTGGCCCAGAAGATCACCCCGGCTACTCTGGGTGCATTGATCGCATACTATGAGCATGTCACCTTTACCGAGGGTGCCGTCTGGAACATCAACTCCTTTGACCAGTGGGGAGTCGAGCTCGGAAAGGTCCTTGCTAAGAAGATCCAGAAGGAACTCGAGACCTCTGGTGCTGGAGGTGACCACGACGGCTCAACCAGTGGCCTCATTGCTGCCTTCAAGAAGAAGGCATCCCTTTTATAAGTAAGTGATAACGACAAATGTCTTTGTTTCTCGTAGCTAGATGATGATGACTTGCTGCTTATGCATTTAATAAATATGAAAATTTGTATTAATTGCCCGTGGTCTCTCGATCGCCCTTGAGTGCTCTATCCTGGTAGTTCAGCCTCTAGTCGTATTGTATATCGCAGTATATTCCGTAGATCTTGTTTGCTCGTTGCCTCAGCTGTATAGATATATACATTTGCCCCTGAACACCGCCAAGTCTGATAACACCATGTGGTTAAAATGAACCCCCAGAAAGAACATCTAACTACCGCTCTGCCGTCCGGACGCCCGCAAGGGAGGATTATTGCATTAATATGACTTTTCTCAAGCGGATACTGATATCCAGCCCGCTCTACTTGGTATTTTTCTCCTACCTCTGCGCCGTCGTGAGCGCTTCCCGGTTAACACACCTGGACAATCCCGCGAAACCAGCATACAAATACGGCGATAACCTCCCCATCAGCTGCCTGAACAGAACAATGTAAGCTGGTTCCTTTTTGATTTACTTGTTTTATGAATCGTATTAACTATGAAATTAATCTACAGTGACGATGGACAACACGTACGAAATCTAACCAATTCCTACCATCCAGCAACGATCAACGATTAACCAACCAACAGGTCACCGATGTAGCTGGAAAGCTCCAATTTATACCCTTCCCCGAATGCAATGAGACCGGCTTGCCTCTTGCGTTTCGCTATGGCATCTCCGAAACAATAACCTGCACCATCGACTCGCTCTCCGACTCCCTCTACCACCTACTAGAATACTACGTCCACTCCGATGTCCCTCTCGCATGCCGCATACCTACCGCCCCCTTAGACGGATCCAGCACGAAATTCAGCTCGAGAAAAGATGACATCAAGGAGAAGGACAGGCATAAGAAGAAGAAGAGCAAAAGCAAGGATAAAGACGAAGAAGAGAGCGGGGATGAGCTTTCTTCGACGCCGTTTACGCCCATGACCTTTGCGGTGCAAGGGACGCTCCAATACAGCCATTTGCACATGTGGACGGATTTGAATGTTCTCTTTCACCGATCTACAAGCATACAGTCAAAGGGCGCAAAGCCTTCTACACACCACATACACGGCCAAGTTGTAGCTGGATCGGCATATTCCTTCCCGCTGGCAGCTAAACGGGATAAGGAAGGGAAGCTTGACAGGACGATAAGCGTGCCTTTGGACCCCTGGGCGGCGGGGAAGGGGAGCAAGATTGTTCGTGGGGAGCCAGTTACTTTCACATTTAGGGTCGGCTGGGTGGATGAGAGTGATATCTCTTTCCTTTCGGCACAGCCGCATGGAAGTTGGGGTGCATTTGGAATGATGTTATGGCGGGCCAGCATGCATGTTATGGCCGGCGTGGCTGGAGGTATCCTTGCTATATGGTGGGATCGAACACTTGGATCAAGACGAAAAGGAAGCCGATGGGATGGAGATGGGTTGTTGGGCAACATACCCGGTTCATCAAAAGGGTTTTTTGGATCACGACGTGCTGGTACCGCGTCCAGTAGTACTACGAGTATAGGTGGTTATGGAGGGTACGGGCTAAGCAGTGCTGGAAGTCATGGCTACAATGGCTTCTCTAGCGGGAAAAGAGACTGATCTCCATGATGTCAAGGCGTCTTATCATTTTTTGTGAATGGGTGTTGATAAAATAGATTTTGACGCATTTCTAGGTGGTAACTTTGACATACTAAGTGTACATGATAAAACGAAATTAAAGGTATATTCAACCTTCATAATGCTAGTTATACATTCGACTTCACACGCCCATAACCGGAGAATCCACAACCAACAGCCAAAGATAGGTGTTACATTACCATCCCTGCCTCTTCAACTCCATGCATCTAGCAACCTGGACCTTGAACGATCTCTTGAATAAGTCTCTCCACAGCCTCGACTTTGTGGCCTTCCGCTTCCTGCCCCGACGAAGATGGAACCTCTGAGCCATTTGGTCGGACCTGATCTTATTTCTCGAAACCACACCCTCCAACATAGAAAAAGCAGTCGTGGCATCAATGCCTCTCGACGGGTCAACTGCAATCGTACGGCCTAGTTTCGGGCCCAGTTTCAATTCAGGGTATTTCGGAACAGCACGTCCTCCCTCGTTCGAATTGTTTGCAACCGAGTCTCGAACAGCTCGAGTCACCCGCCCAACGTCTGCATTTTGAAATAGGTGGCGAAATCCAGCTGTGACGTTTGAGCTATTGGGCGGGTTGGACGAGCCTACTCGCTCATATACGTCGTCTAGCAGGTTGCTAATCGAGTCCACATCGAAGTTGTTCTGGCTGGGTGAAGGTGTCTTTTGTAGTCTTTGCTGCTGCTGGGAGTCCACCGGGGCGTCTTTCGGTCTATCCCAAAGTGGCTGGGATGTAGATATCGTTCGTACCGGCTGCCAGAGCGGTTGTGATGTATATGCTGGGCGAGAGAAGTGTTGGCGGACGAGGCGAGAGGTGTGCTTCGAAACCAGGCCATTGGCCATCCGTCGGACGTCCATCACGGCTGGCACAGTTCAATGACCATCCAGAACCCCGTAACAGTGTAAAACAAGCGTCGCCGTGGGCTGTAGCGTCTCTTTCTGCTGCTTCTTGTCGCTGTTTCGTCGTCCCTTTTTGATGCTTTCCTGCGACTTCGTGAAAAAACGTCGAACCTCAATCGGGCAGTCAGGTGGCCGTCGGAGAAATTTCGGGTTTTTATTTTTCCGTCAATTCACGTGACGCTGTCATTATTTTAGGTTTTCTCCAAGGTTTTATCGATAAGGAAGTTCCGATGTCGCGAGTTGAAAAAAACATTGGCGATTAGCGACGACGACGACGAAGACGACGACGATTGCGATAACGAAGAGCAGACGAGAAGAAGAGTAGAAGGAGAGACTATCCCGTGTCGGTAGCAGTCGAGCAGTGCGTGATACTGCCAGAGTCATGTCGTCTATCACCATCGCGAGCCTGCCTAGGATGGCCCGGGAGACGCTCTCCGCGATCATCCAAACACCCGCAGCGGCCAGCAATCTTGCTATCATAGATGTCCGGGATTCTGGTTCGTCTGTTCATCCCCTTATCTCCCTCCGTGCGACGTCTAACTAGGCTGTATTGTCGTCCACATAGACCATGTCGGCGGCAACATTGTCACTTCGCAATGGGTCCCCAGCTCCTCCTTTGATGTTCATGTCCCAGAGCTTATCCGGACTCTTAAGGACAAGGAGAAAGTCGTCTTCCACTGTGCTCTAAGCCAGCAGCGCGGCCCATCAGCTGCTCTAAAATACGCAAGAGAACGAGCGAGGTTGCTTGGTGAGGATGAAAGCGCCAAACAGACCATCTTTGTTCTTGACGGGGGCTTCGTCAAGTGGCAGGAGGTCTTCGGCAACGACCCAAAACTCACTAATGACTACGTCAAAGATATCTGGGACGACTATTGATTATATCCTTTACGATGATGGCCTTTTTTTTCTTGCCAATCGCTTTGAGTATGATTAACGTGTGGGAGACTAGACTTGACTAAATACTATTGACGGTAACGAAGCAGTCGGCATTCTTAAACTTATACATAGATCACGCTACCAGAATGCAGCTCACGATTATAGAACATCCAGGCACAAAAAGGTCAAAGATTCTAGGTGTATATATACATAATAGAAGTATTTACTCGGTGGAATTACATCCGAACTTCACCACCAAAGCCTACCGGCCGTCTCTTGCCCCCACTCTCAGGAACAATAGCCATCGCCTTGTAGATCCTGCCCATCCCTCCGCCCCCACGCTCAACGAGACGCTGCCAGGAGCTTTCTATCTGCTTACGCTTCTCTTCATCATTTACATTGCGAAGTAGCTGGGCCGCCCTTTCTGCAATGCCCAATGAACGTAGAAAGCTACCCTGCTCATTAGGGCCGTAAACTTCAACACCAGGACTAGCGTTGAGAGCAGACTCAGCAAGGCCAGTGAAATCCACATCCGCGCTGAGATCGACTTCTCCTGGGGTTGCGAAGGGCGACACGACCTGGTGATTCTTGATTCCGCGCAGAGAATTGACGGGGATGGTAGACGATGGGCCATAATCAAGTATCAGCGCTGCGCCAGCTGGGGTGCGGGTGGGTAAAGGTTTTTTATCAGTTGGATTGGGTCCTCCTATCAGTCGGGCTATTTCTTGGGCGTAGGTATGACTTTCCGGGCTGATCTCAATGGTTGATCCACGAGTCGACTTGAGGGCCTTGTACCGAGGTGACATTTCTGGCATGACGAGCGATGCTGGAGTAGGAGACTTTGCGAGTGCTAATCGGAACTCAAGCTTCTTGTCGTTCTTGTCGTTACCGTAGTCGCAGTCGGGCTCGCGTTCTGCCTCGGGGTTTGTAGCAACAACCAACTCTCTCCATTGTGTTCCATTTAGGGGTAGCGAAGGTTGTCGAAGTTCAGCCGGTCCAGTCGGTGTATTGATTGTTTCTGGAGGAGGGGAGTGAACGGCTTGGAATGCATGGATCGGAAGGGCATCGAAGAACTCGTGAGCAATGATGAATGGCGCCTTATCCTCGGCTAGTATCATCGTTAGTTTGTAGTTTATTATGGGTTCAGACAAGGATAGAAGTACTCACTCTGAGTCAATATGCGTATATGCTCTGTCCAGTACACCGGTACTCCTAGGTGAATACTAATGCTTTTATAGCCGATATCGCACTCTTCCATCGGTGCATCTCCGCAAAGTGCCTTCTTTTGGATATCTCGCAACGTTGGACTAGCTTCTATCATATACACTCCCTCAACACTCGAAGCAAACCCTTTAAAGTTCCTAACCGACTGATACGTATCCTCCATCAGTTGCAATTTCCATGCTCATTAAGTAAAGAAAAACTTACTCGTAATATATCCGCCATCAATGTTCCCTTGCCTGGCCCAAATTCCATCAATTGGACTCCGCTGCTACGTCGCCCCTGAGACAGCCATTCAGTCACTATCCATATTCCTAGCAGCTCGCCAAACATTTGAGATATCTCCGGCGACGTAACGAAGTCTCCCTCCTTGCCAAAGACATCTCTGCCAGGTGTTCCACGGGATGTATAGTAACCACCTTCATCGGAAGTTAGACACTGACGCATGAAGGCCGCAATCGAAATCGGTCCCGTAGTCTACATCAGGAATAAAAAAGATTAGCAAACCAGCATTCCAATCTGACTTATAAACTGTATTCAAGGAGTAGCATGGAAAGAACCAACATTGATTGCATCTGTGATTCTCTTTGCCAGGGGAGTCGACCATTCCCGCTGCGAAGCCGGCTTCAACGTGGATAGACACCGCCGGCCGTTTGGCACTGCCAGCCGCGCGGGTCGACTGGCATTTGCCAATCGGTATACTATCCTAGAGGCACCATTGCTCATCTTTCGGCGATGAGAGGTGCTGTTTCGACAAACTGTGACCTCGAGGAAAGCATTCAAGATCTCAAATATCCAAGAACAACAAGCATGCCTTCCCGAGCGGTCGTGCTTATGTAAGATTCGACTTCGGCGTTTCTAAGCGCAAAAAGGAACGTTTGGGATACAGAGCGTGGCAGAATTAGCTTCTATGCAAAGGACTCTTTGATTTATTCTCAGCCTTTGGCGCTGAGCCACTAGTTTACACGCTAGTTTATATATGGTTACTATATTATTTACCCCTGCTCATGAGCTTAGCTGTATGGTATAACCATTGTCATGACGCGATGTATGATACAGGGTCCCTATTTATCTCTAGAAAGTTCGCTATAAACTCAACAAACTCCGCCGAAGATCTGGCGTTTCTCTTCTCTACAAATGTAATTCAAGTGGGAAGAGTACCAGCAAAATTCAAGGGCTTATTATACTGACGTCTCCTTATACCACTCTATAACTAACCTAGGTACTCTGTATTCATGGCAAGTGCGTACACTCGTGATGACTCCCCATCCCAACAAGTTGACCACCATTACCAGACGGAATACGCCCCTACACCTAGTTATTCCTATAGTATCCTTTCTCCTTTAGTTTATAGCACTATCGCGCATGACCAGCCCCTGGAGGAAGAAAGTTTGAACTCGCAGCCGGTATCTTCTTACCCAGAGAAGCTCCCGTTGCTTCGACTGGACCAATGGGATGAGACAAGGGTATATGATGAGCAACCTCCGAGCTATATCCACTATTCTATTGAGTGGAAAGTAGCCCTGAATAATAGGGTTGTGATAAAGGACACAGAGCAGGATTTGGTCCTGTCTCCTAGATACCACTGGCAGCTTTTTCTGAAACCAAGACTGGAAAAGCTTCTGCACAAGAAGTTCTCGAGTACCCGGCGAGTTAGGTCGGATGATACCAACGTCGTTGTATCAATAAATGATTGTAGCCAACGAGATCTGACTAGACGGTTTGATGGAACTGATGTTGATTGGCCGGCTATAGAGAAACAGCTCCTCTTATGGGGGGATCTATTCCGAGCAGGGAAGAAACTCAGGCTTAGTATTTCTTTTAACTATATAGAGGACAGTCGCACCTCTGGTCCTGTCCCGAGAAGAGGTGGTAAAAGAGGCCGTACATCAGTGACTAATAGGATGCTTGCTGAAAGAGAAGCACAAATTGATGCAGAGGAAGGCAGCTGCGGGCAGCGATCCGTTTGGCGGGAAGTATATAACTTGATGTGCTGCCCCGGTCCACCATGCCGCTTAGGGCCACACTGCTGGCAGGACCCAGAAGGGAAACACTATAAACTCAAGACACACCATCTTCGGAATCTTGTTAAGTACGCTGGCGTAATGCAGTCACATGAGGACATGCCCGACATGATCCGGAAAGAGTTATATTCAGAGCATCAACCTGCAAAGCGGCGGAGAGAAGACGGTTCACTAACAAACGGGACACCTATCAACATCAACGTCTTGCCCACTCAGCCTTTATTTACTCCTATGCCAGCTATAACGCAGACATCACCTTCGCCTTTAGATAGACGTCATGCCGATGTTCTCGACATCCCAGGCCCCCGAGACGATGCTGTTAAGCATTACACCGAGTGGCAGCAGCTAAAGGTGACAAATGAAATACTCAAGGCCGATTTTCAAAAAGCCTGCGATTTGGCGCTGGCAAATGGTCTTGATCTTGAACAAGTCTACAAGGATCAAGAGCCAGACTTCTTCATCAAACAAGGTGTGAAGATAGGTATTGCCCGACGCTTCGTGGACGACATTGGTGTGTGGGCCACGCGTCATGAACCCGATTTTGATGAGTGAGTGTCGACAGCAGATCCATGCCGTAGGCGGTAGGGTGCCGGTGTCATTTACTGTACTTCTTGAGAAACGATTTGTTGTTTTTTTGTTTATACATACGTGGGAGGATAGAACCTGACATAAAGATCCAATGGAAACTCAATCTATAGTCACATTTCCTAGCCCTATTAAACCCTATTTTAAAATGTGATAAAACCTTCCCAGAAGTATATATGACCTAGGACAAGAGTCCCATTAGTTTCGGCTATTTAATATATATACTAATATTCTTAAGGCAGCTAAATTATATCTTTACTCTGTAGTCTCACCCACTAATCCCTCGATATAGGTACTTTAATATTGTATCTCAATAATTTATATATAGTGTGTTGTAGAATCAGCTTGACGCCTCAATACTCTTCGCTCTTTATTAAATACTATCCTAAAATAAGCTGGTATGCATACAGTTAGTATTTAAAAGACTCTTACTATGAATTATATAGTATCTAGAAATTACACAATTAAGGTCTGTAATTGTTATAGTTATTAAGGAATTTTTTGCTAAAGTGAAGGCGTCTATTAAAACTGATAAGTCTATAAGATGGACCTGAGCCAACAAAGGGTTTGGTAATTTCCTTGAATGCTATATACCTAAATCGGGCAGAAAGTAGGCATATTGGTACAGAATCTAAATCCTTGGGCAATCGCCAACTGCATTAACCCCAAGTTGTCAACCCTATAACCCCTATAAAACCCTTTCCCGTTTACTAGATGCTTTATAATTTCTCCCAGTCATCCATAAATAGCAAGACAATCTTTTGTAGCTTCCCTTTCTTCTGATAAGTCGACAAATTGTTTAACAGCCTTTATACCGGGGTGTCCACTATTTATATAGTTTTGGGCGACGGTTTTGAAGTGGGAGTGTGCTTTATCCCTTTCCTCTTTAGTTGTATTTCCTGAATCTAAACGGTATGATTGGGCCGCCAACTCGAAGTCATTACAGGCTTCCTGTATATGCGCTGGGACGCAATGAATGCCCATCTTCGAAGGATTTTAGTTGAGGATGAAAGATTAAACTGAAAACCAGATTTGAAAATAATGTGATATTTGTGAATAGTGCTGAAAGACAATTGAGGGGTGGAGGTTAAATTAAGTTGACTATCATGTGATTAGCTAATATCGGAGCCTCGTGTTTGAGCTGTTTGGTACCAAGTCCCTAGCTCATATCGCTTGGGGACTATCCGGCACTGGCCCTGCTACACCCCCTCTACAACAGATATATAGCTGATAGATAGCCACGCTCACTGCTGAGTATGATTTTCATTCATTTTTTACCTATATACTGCCCTATTTTGATAGTTTGTAAGGCTCTCTAGCATTTCATTGCTTTTTATCTTTGAAAATCTGAATTCATTAATGGCGGCTTCAAGTCAGGTTATGTAGTTCTTCGTTTGTGGGAGGTCCCAGAGATACATAAAGATGATACTAGCACAGCATATCCTTACACGAGACAGAGTAATACAGTACTAGCTATATCTCTTCTATCTCGATGCCGGCATGTCTAAAATGCCCTTCGGCACTTTGTTCTCTTGATCCCACTGTATCGACGCACTACTTAAGAAAAGAATCAAAGCCTTCATCATTGTGTTCCACATAGAGCTGCCAGTTCCGCCTAATGAAGCTCTTTAACTCGGCAAAGAACTCTTCGATAGGATTTAGGTCGGGCGAGTAGGGAGGTAAATATATCAACTTCACTCCCTTGTCAGCACATAGCTTCTCAATCTGTTCAGAATGATGGAAGGATGCGTTGTCCATGATTAGCACAGACTTAGGGTCTGGCCATCTACCGCAGTGCTCGAGGAGCTGCTCGATAAAATCTTCAAAGCGAGAAGCATCAGTTGTACCTTGGAAAATCCGGGAAAGAACAATACCATACTGGGCATATGCAGGCAGTATCTGATAGCGCTGCCCACGGTGAAACCGAGAAACTTGGGTTGGCGTCACGCCGACGGGGGCCCAACCTGTCCGTCTTGATCCAACCCGTTTATCGCAGCCGGACTCGTCCACGAAAACAGGATGGTACGAGCAAAAGCTCGAAAGGTCATGGAGATAAGAGTCTCTCAGGTCGGCATTACGCTCCTTTGCTACCTGCCTCGCAACTTCCCTAGACCAACCAATGGAAGCAAGAGCGCGGCTGAGAGTGGAAATGGTCACAGATACGTTGAACCTTTCACGGATAAATGCTGCCATCTCATCCAGGTAAAGCCCTGGATTTTTGATAAGCTGGTCGCAAAGGTGCTCGTTGTTTTCGTCGTATTGGAGTTCACGATGCCTAGTTAAGACTTCTTCTCCAGTGATTACCGACAACGCGAGGGAAATGCTCTCAGTAATGAAAATTTTGTCGTCAAGGAGCTCTGAAAGCTCCTTACATAACTAATCGATTATAAGTTTTAGCCAGTTTATATCTGTTGTTAGCCTTTCGATTCCATTCGTCTTCTTCTTCTGTCAGAGCAGGTTTGTTGTCAAAAGCGACTATTTCGACTCTAATTGGGGTCACTTGACGAAGACCATATTTTTCTCCAGGCTGATGATTCTCATGTGTAGAGACTGAAGTAGTTTCCATTACGTTCACTAGTCAATCTGGGCGAGTCTGTATGAGGCGATGGGTCTTTGAATGGGAATGAAGTGGTTGACAAGATAATGCAATGATGGTTCGTTTCGGCGTATTTACTAGACTCGAGAATAGCAGATGTCGCGAGAAATTCAGTGTTTTGATTGATGGGCACACGTCATCGATTTGCCACGGGTCCTCTAGCGTAAGTTTCGGAAAGAGCGGAGGCTCTATTGCTGCCACAGTCTATTCTCACGATTATATGTTATTGCGTATTAAAATTGAAGCTTTAAGCATAAAGAATTTTCATTGGGCCCTAAGTAGCCTAAAAGTTATTGCTGACAATAGCAGTGTAGGGGTGGGTATGTACGAGCAAGGCTGGCCACCCACATAACACCAGGATACTCGTTCATTGAGCGGCGTGCGGGGTAATAATATAAATTTTAAACTAGCCTGCATGAGAAATTACCGCAGGGCGGCCAAAGGAGATAAGTACGCTATAATATATTGTTGGGTGGGTTGTGATATAGAATCCTTTGAATTTCCCAAAGAAGCGTAATGTTGATTATTGATACATACTATCACAAAACAAAAAAAATCTCCAAAACAACCATATCCAGAATTGCAACTACACGGAACCCTTAGTATAGGTTAGACTACTCTCAAGAACCCTATCTCATCGCCGTACTAACTGAAATAGGGTCACCTCCCGTTGTGTAAACCATGCCCGATAAGTCTGTCGAAGGGAAAGGCAAGGGAAAGGATGAGGAGCCTGTTATCGGAGAGGCATCTTATGGAGTCATAGCACCACCAGCGGCGGCAAATACCGTTATATCTTCCGGAAAAAGATCTCAAGAGAAGCGAAAGGAAATCAACCGTGACATGGCATTTCAAAAGCTGATGGGAAACCAGGGAGCCTCGGGGGACCAAGGATCAAGTGGCAAAGAAGAGCGCTAGATTTGCGCTGGTTCGCCGAAAGCTTGTCGAAGTTTATTGTCATATTCTTCTTTATCTCTTATCTTTCTCTTGATAATATCGGTGACATTAAATGCCCAGTGAGATGTCATTACAAGCCCGTATTGATCTTCGTTATATATGCCTTTCCCGAGTCTCGACTGGATTTTATCGATAAATAAACGAAAGATAGCAGTGGGGTTTTGTAGGGCGAGTGAATACCAAAAGGTACCTATCTCCCATCCTCTCGTCATGATTGTTGATAGCTGGGGTTCTTGTTTGGTATCAAGTTCTTCCTGGGCTAAGACTTGTCCGAATTCCGTCCACATCTTTTTATATTCCTCCTCGTCAATAGTGTCGACGAATTGACTTGCAAGCCAATAAGGCGGATGAATCATCTCGATTGGTAGCGAACATCCCCATTCAAGGTCTACGAGTGAGGTAATGTTCCACATTTTGTCGACAAATATATTGCTCTGATGGAGGTCAGTTAGAGAGAATACAAATGGACCTCGGCGTAAGTCTCGCCGGAAGAAGAGAGGAATAGAGGTACGCATTCCTGTTAATGCCGTCGCCTGCTGCATGAAGTCTGAGCCATTATTAATAGCGTTCGGTTGATAGAGTAGGCGGCTATCGTGAAGGCTCACCATATCAGTGGCGTAGGAATCAGTGGTCGAATATGTATAGTCACGCGCAATGTCTATTGGAATCCCCTCATTCTCTAACTCTTGGATTTCTAGAGTTAGCGGCCGGTTCGATAAGGAGATAAAGCCGTTATTATCTATAACAAATGATCCAATGCGTGGTAAGGGAGCACGGGCAAGGCTCAGCATTATACTGGCCAGACCCTTAAACAGCGTCTTCCGTAAGATAGCGTTATTCGAATTTTTAAACCAAGTGTCTGAGAGCATTATTCCTTGCTCTGGCTCAATGCATTCAATTAAAATGTATCCAGAACCAAGAGGCGTTGCAATAGAAGACGGATGACGGATATATTGGGAGGGAATCAAGGGCTCAGACCAAACGAATCTACCGATCCATAGATATATCTGTCGACGTATGTGGTGGTAGTATCTGGTAAGGAACGGCAAATTCTCTAATATAGTAAACTAGGACCATTAGCTAATTTCGCTGGAATGCAACCAAAGAGAGACCTACCGATTCACCAGAGGAAAGTGAAAAACCGTAAAGCTGTGGGATAGGAATATCAGGGTGACGCTCTTGAAGCCACGCATAGGTGCCAGCCTCACATCTGACCTTTTCATCAGCATTGCCTGGCCTAAATGCTTCGCCAACTTTATATGGAAGAGGTAGCCGTAGAAGAACGCGGTTTCCACGTTGCTTTCTCGTCCAGCCTCGAATAGTAACGGGGATACATAGGTTGAAGCTACCGCAGAGCCAGCTACTTGTTGAACCTGCGATATCGCACCTTGAAGGGTCGACGTTTAAATGATGAGCAACGACGTCTTTGATCCATTTGTCTTTGCTCGTAAGCTCGGCGATAAATTGGTTCTGCTTCTCAAAGTATTCAAGGCGGTGGAGAATATTAATTTCCTTATCCTGGGCGGCAGAGTAGGAAATCTCTTCTCGGAGAAGTCGTCGTGTCATAATAATAGTCTTCCAAAATACAACAATGACGATCTAGCAAGTGTCAACAAAGTGATCGCGTCACGTTGTTAAGGGTGAAATCGTGCCTGCTAATGATATCGGGTGATGAGGTCTGGGCCTCCGAAAGACAGGAGTATTGTCATAACTTTGTTCATACCGTACAGCTAAGCTCATGAGCAGGGGTAAAAAATACAGTAACCATATATAAACTAGCGTGGAAACTAGTGGCTTAACGCCTGAGGCTGAGAATAAATCAAAGAGTCTTTTGCATAGAAGCTAATTTTGCAACGCTCCTCTGTATAAAAAGAACAGACGACCATGAGATTTGGCTGATGTGCGGGAATGACATGCCAGATCTCGGGCACCAAGATGAAGTCTCCTTCGCATCGGAAGAGCCTCTATTTGACAGCGCACCTCCCTGTCACCATTGCGGTGGCCTTGAGTTGCTAAATATGGGCTGCCAGTTGTGCACAAGTTTCATCAAGCGAACTACACCCGGAGGTCAGACGGACATTGATCTTATCATGAGAAGGATAAACATGTGAAACATGGGAGGGAAGGCCATGTCGCACAATATCACCCAGCCAGGGTGCTATCATGCTTTGGGCTGCTCTGGAAGACGTTTGATCAGCTGAACAGTACTTAGCGGAGTACGAGTGCCCCCAGCACCAACATGCATACTCCTCCGTCGCGGCATTTCGTCGCAGTTAATTCGCTGGCCGAGTAGCAAACTTCCCATCACGTTTACATGTCTTTGGTTTAGGTGCAGGGAATTCTAATGTGCTGCAATAAACGGTTCTCTGATACCAATATTATTTACCGCTTTATAAGTGACATTTTGGAAAGCGTGTCCATTTGACGTTTGGAGGCCACCATCCCGGCATTGAAACCATTTGAGTTTGCTGGCAGAATTGTCAGTTGAACCGTGGGTTGACCAAGTTTTGACCTACCAAAGGCTTATCCAAACGTCCAGGCTCATGAAGAGGATGGGGGCTAGATGCAGCACCTTGCACGGGACTGTCTGGGGACTGCTGAGAGGCCATCAACAAACCACTAAGTGGCAAGTTCATTCCTCTGGTTTGTGGGGAGCGTATCTGGGGAAAACGGAACCTGTCCGGGAGTGGCGCAAGATTGGGGAGGATTTGTTTCTGAAGTTTGACTGAGAGTCAATTCCTAGCAGGTGGGATAGGTATCTTGATGACATGTTTATTGACGCAATAAATTAGCGAATACCTCTTATAGGAGCCTCTTGAAGGACAATAATGACGTCTAACTCGTCAAATTATGAATTCATGTCTTCAATTGGGCTTGAGCTTTGAGGTTTGTTACCTGCTTAACAGGCAGGACATTATGGTTTGTTGTCTTTAGACCTGAGTTTCTTTAGACCTGAGTTTCTGACCGTTGCATCATAACAACCACATTCAATGGCCTAGGTCATAGTTTCGATAGACGAGGGACATACTCTGCTTTCGTAATCTCTTTATTATTATCATCAAATTCACCGTTGTTTTGGCATGGCTGTTGACTCGTAAGATGAAATAGTGATATTCATACAAAAGCAAAGAAGTAAATGTCCCCGTCAGATGGGTTATTGTTGTACATAGGTGCAAAATGCAGAGATCAGGCGATAGCAGAGTTGTTTACCAATCGAAAGCTCTCAAGAACATCCAGTATGAGATCCAACGCTGCCGCCCTAAATGAGTGGGCCAAAGCATAGAATAGTTACTAACGTCTCCGGGTCCTAAACGGCTGCGAGTCAACCATCATTGTATCATACAAGTCAGGCTTGGTTGAATTGTGCTGTTTTTCGCTTTGTCTCCGAGCTCTTCCCCAGCTCTGGCTGTTGTTCCTATGGTCTTGGTCATATGAATTGGGCTGTTGCTGCCGTGGCTGTTCTGCTGGGTCTGCAAACCCAAAACGACCATCTTGAAACTCCGCAGGACGACGATTTTCACGGCGCTCCTGGTCTGCCAGCTCACGACTACTGTCAAATGCCGATTTGGTCCTGATAGCAGAAGCAGAGTTCGCTTGCGCTAGGACTGTAGCCGGGTTAGCTGTATCTATCCGAACTTGAATAACCCTTCCGTCTGCCTGTACTTTTACGTTAGTTGGGACGTCAAGGCATAATATAGTGGAGATAAACCAAAGTTGGGGCAAACCTTTTGTGAATTGAAGGCCGCCACAACGCTATCAGCTCCTCGTCTTTCAGCGAATACCATCAGTGCTGTTACGGAGGGGTATGACTTTGTAATTCTGCATTGGAGAATATCCCCTCCAGTGGGGCTGAACGCAGCTTCAATGTCCTCCGCAGTAGTTCCAGGAGCAAAGTTACTGCCAATGACGACACAGGGGCCAGATGCACGGCCTTTAATATTCAAACCAGGTCCTTGTGTCTTCGTGCGATCGGTATTATCAATTATTGGGAGAACGCCCGATAGTAGGCGACTCTCTCTGGTTTGCCGTGTGGTTGTAGGCTTCACCTGTTGCTTCTTCACGCCCGCGGACGCCACACGCTAAACGATGACTGGTCAGGATACGTTCTGGTTGGGCAAGCTGCAAGGATCGCGGGGGAGGGAAACCTTTTCGACTCTGCTCGCAAGGCTCCTAGTAACTGGGGAGCCTCTTCTGCTAGACACATTGGATCCTGGGGTGCCCGATTTTCTTGCTTTTCCGAAAAAATCGTCTGTCAAGGCTTGCTTTTGACGCCGGAGACGGGCTATATAATTTTAAGCAAAATGAGTCAGCTAAAGCGAACATCACCATAGTTATTATACATTTATCATAAAGCCCACTCACCATTATGAATAATTGCTTCAAAAGACGCGCTCTCTTCCTTCTTGTTCGGAGCCATCTCGGTCAAAGGGCGTTAGTTAACAAATTTGACGGGCTTAACAGCCGTTGACTATAGGGAGGGGAAAGGCTGCAGTAGTTAGAGCCGATGTCTAAAACTTCCCGAGCTAAAGACACAAAAATCCGTAGTTTGGGTGCGAGAGAAAAGGCTGGAGAGGCGAGAGTTCATGAATGTCCGTTTTGTTCAGTGACGACATGAAAGCTGAAGTTGCGAAGAAGCGCGCGCATGCGTTGCTGACTCATCAGCCTCGTTTTTGCCGCCGCCCTCTTTTTTTTAACTTCGTCTCTCAACGTCGAATATCAAAAAGCTAAACAGGACAGGTTTGAGAAGACAACTTCGACCTGAAGACGGAGACAGCAGGCCTGTGAGTAGGGAAAGCATCACTACCACACCATTATACCCCAAGGTTCTCCGGCAGCACCGTAAAGTGCGTCATTGCATAACTCAATGGCAAATTCTGGAATTTACATACTCCAAACCAGATGGCAAGTGTCGGGGCCAAAGTCTGGGTCACAACAAACCACCAGCAAAAGAACCAACGGTTCGAACCAGCAGAAAGAGCAGAACGTCAACTAAGGCTGTGACTATGGCTCTTGCTTGTTTGGGCAGATAAGTATCTACTCTCTCCCCGGAGCCGGATACTTTCTGCTTCTGCTTCTTCTTCTTTTTCTTCTTTTTTTTTTTTTTTTTTTCAAACCATGGAGCTGGGTATTCACAATTATAGACGCTTGGTTAATGGAATTGGAGGAGATAGTTCTTTCTTCCAATAATTCTTTCTCTTTATTCATCCTTCTACTGTTCACCTTCAGTAATGGAGGCCGGTATGACTTCGACTGCTCGCCAGGTCCCTAACCGGGATACTGGTAGGATGTCTGTTGGATCGGCAATCTCAAGGGGATCAGTGAAGAGGAGCTGGAGTTTCCCCCGGGTCTTTGGAATGCGTTTCAATAGACAAGTGTCTGTCCTTTCTCCCCGGTTGATATGTCTCCCGGTTGCTCACATACATGTAGGGATCAGCCACCGGCCCTTGTCTCGGACGGCATGGGAACAGCAGACTGCTCCGTTTACAACACCCAGGGTCCTAGGATGAACTCCAGGAGCGCACAGAGCAGCTTCCGCTTTTTCTCCCGCCAAAAACTTCCCGCTCTGCCTGATTTTTCCGGCACACCGCTCAGGCGGGCAAAATCAACGCAGGGCTTTTTTGCAGGCACATTCAAGGTAAACCCATTTTTCAAACGTGCCAGCGTTTTCCCGAACCAGAATGACCAAAATGAGTCTGATAACAACGGCACTGGCTTCGCGGGCTCTGCCTCGAATCATGAGCGTGATGTGCTTTCAACGTTTGCTCCCATACATCCTGGAGGTTCGCTGTCGGTTCCGTCATCTGGGTCCCTTGGAGAGACCAATGATAGCCATCAGCTTAGCGAGGAGACTCGAGAAGCAACCTTGGAGGAGAACAAGGCTCTCCTCGATCCCACCCCAGGATCGTCAACGCGATCTGTCATTTTGGTGCCTCGGAGACTGAAAAACTACTTCCGAAAAAACAGGAGCCTCTGGTCTCATGAGGTATGCTAACACCTCAGCTATCTCTGATCCGCATGCGCTTCACAGCTTCTAATGTTGAATAGAAACCAAAACCTCGCCCTGTTGGCAGACGTACCCCTGCGAACAAAGTGGGTCCAGATTGCTGCCCTCCTTCTCCATCTTTCAATGTGCCTTCTCCGTTTTATTGCATCAAATATATGGAAATAGCTCCTTCCTCTTGTCACCCTTGCTTCCTTCCCCAACATGTTTTGTCGTTTATTTACACCTAACCTCAACCCGAGGAAAGGGTTGTGCTGACAAACCATAGCCTCCCACGGAGCGCGACCTTGCTCGGCAACGTCTGTTCGAAGAATCTTTGCTCATTTGCCCAGAGAAGTTCCCTATAGCGGCGCAGAAGCTAATGAGTGGCGGGATAACGGCCAACTCCTCTTGTGTAGCCTCTCTATCCGCAATTTCTCGTCGGGGTCATGGGCGTTCCACAATCAGTCTTTCTTTAACCGCTTCGTCTCCTCGACTACCGACCCATTTGCGGTATATGGTGGAGGCTATCGATAGACCGTCAGCCGAGCAATTTATAGAGAGTACAAGCGATCCGCCATAGTCTAGACAAGGTATCTGGGTTTGCTTGTTCTGTAAGCAATATCTAATAGACATAGAACTCGATAACATAATGACAAATGAGATGACTTTCATCAAACCATACAAGCGTATGAATGGATAAAAAGCCACTACTAGGCTCTCTAGATCTGTACCGTGCACCAGTCCATGAAGACTAGCATAATTAAGACGCACTCAGGTACACTTCCAAAATGGATACAATATTCCTGCTTCAGCTTGGCTCTGCCATTACTAAACAACTCCATAACTAACCATCTCCTCACATGGGGCCTATGGAAAGGTCCTCTACCAGCTGGCGTTTTAATTGGATATGGAAGCTTCACGCAAGTCCTCAGAGCAATAGGCCCTAAGGTAATGCCATCAGGGGCTTAGCTACCAGTCCTATTACTGCTGCCTCTTGGTTAATTGATGCATCACGCGCGCTCGGTATTATAAGCCGGATAATATCCTTTCTAGGATGGCGATTATGGTAGTAGATATTTGGTGGCACCGATTCTCTCAAGGCAAAAAGGAGAGAATCAGGCCAATATTTGGGGTCCTAACTTCGCTCGTATACCCCTGAGTCACGAAAAGGCCACCTCCATCGGTTTTTACCTCATCCGATCACCCCTGCCCCCACGTCCTCCTCTACTACCTCGGTCGTGGCTCTTTCCGCGGCCTCGGCCTCTACCGCCGCGGAACGGTCTTTCACCATACTTGTCCGGAGTATGTGGCATTTCCATAGGTGCTTCACCGCCCATCATCTCATGTAGATCTTGTGGCCGAGCAAGACGTCTATACCAGCCATGTTCAGCGTTGTTATCGTTGCTGGTACCATTGTCATCATAGTTGAGCTCCGAATGTCGTAGATTTGAAGGTGGATGGGATGGCCCTTTTCCTCGATTGCCTCCTCCGCGTTCAAGTTTCCCTTCACGTTTTCCCTGGCGCTTCAGCTTGAGCTGCCTCTTATACTCAGCTTCGGCCTCATCGTCTGAGAACTCTATCTGGTCATCTCCCACTTCCTCATCATGTAAGTTTGAAGCATCACTTCCCTTTAGACCCCTGAGTGGCTGTGTGAACACAAAGGTTGAATGATCAACAACATAAAAGACAGGGGTTTCTTTCTCCAATCCAGCTTCTTTAACTGCTTCCGCATTTGGAAATCGAACAGTATATAGAGGTTGCTGAACCCGGCCGAGTGTTTCCGATACCACCCCGATTACCTTCAGGTTGACGGAGCACAAAACTGAGCCTGTTTCTAGGACCTGATATTCGCCAGATATATTTGCTCGCACCAGCACAACATTATCCACAATACTCTCGACGTTCCCTAGCATCTCAACCTTCATTTCAGGGGTGATAGTGATGTCTGGCAATGGTACAATCTCATCTGGCTTCTCGTTCGCCGTTCTGACTTCGGTTATGACCGCCCTACCACTGTCCCCTCCTTCATCATCCGATCCGCCCTCTGCAGCCATCAATAAACGAGCCTGCTCTTCAGGATCCAAAAGTTCATAGTCATCATCATCATCCTCATCGGAGTCACTTGAATCAGAATCAGTCGAAGACTCAGAAGAGGACTCATACGGAGACGAATCAACCTCCCATTCGGGATGATCGCCTCCGCCGGGTTGTTCCTCTCCTTCAGTAGCTGGGGGTATTCCCTCTATTATTTCAGCCGCAAGCGCAGCGATTTCAGCTTCTGCAGATAAAGAAGCATCAGGTGCGGCATCCGCCCTCTCTCTAGCATGAGGGTTGCCAACAGATTCCGTAATTTTCTCATTGGAAACTTCTATTCCATCCCCAGACATAACAACATCTACTCTGTTGGCAGTATCGGGTACCTGCTCCACTGTGTTCGGTGACGGTTTAGACACACTTTCAAGCAGTTGATTACTGTTATTCCGATGGTCTTCTTCACTGAGTAGCGTAAGACCTGGGATCATAATGCGCGGCCTCCCAGATCCTTCTGTGGTGATGGTTTCGTTCGAAGGGACTGCATTTCCCGGTTGAAGAGACGACCCCACATTTAACGGTGTGTTATAAAAGTCGCTCCCCTCATCTTTTGGTGTATCTGTAGCTACTGTTGAAGTTGTACCATTGGCTGCAACGGAGTTATTGTCCATCCTGGGCTGCTCTGTGGGTAGGCTCCCAGTGTGAGTGTCGTCACCCATCGTAGTGTCCTCCATAGTATACAAGATATAATTTAGGGTTAAACAAGGAAAATAAAAGTATTTCTGATGATCTCAAATGATAAATATAGCAAATTATGCAGAACCAAATCAAAGCGAATCAAATTTCATCGTCAGAAGCTGTGGTTTTATATCTGCGACTTTCGTCGAAGCTCAAAACTTTCTTTAGAATTTTAATAACTTTTAACCTTTTACGATAAGATAAGGTTCCACGCTAGCATTATCATGGACTAGTACGGGCGTATTGTTTACATCATGTGATATGGTCACGAATTTGGTCAGTATCAGAAAGTATTGACAATTTATTTGCTTATTGCTAATAGTTGCAGGACCATGGGACAAAAAGGCCTATCTGCCCCATGTTCCCTTTGGATCCGAGTTCTACTGACACGAGGATGATTAATCCTGACAATATGTCATAATATATTTCTATGGTATCTATCTCTTTATGTCACTGGCTAAATTCGTCACATCATATCCATCATTACTATGGCTAAACGAAACAGCAAATGAGGGCCATTCTATACAATCCTAATCCTCGTCCTTTCATCCAGATTCAATCCCCAGACTCGGAATGACATATGTGCTTGCATTTCATGGTTTTCGTTGGGCCGTAACTCCTCAGGAAGGGCCTGAGCCAAGACCGTGTTTCTCAGGTCAAGGCACTGCTCAAACTCCGACCAATTCCAGTAACATTCTGAGCCAAACGCCTCCCCATCATGGAATATACCCCCTTCTCTTGCCATGGAAAAACTTTTCCAATTTGAAGACCACTTCTCCGGGAGATCTATACCTGGAAAGAACTTCATGCTGCTTCCAAGGGCTGTCTGTGAAAATGCAATTGCATTCATGAGTTTCTCGGTTACTTCTGCCCATGCTTGAAAATCGGAGGTATGAGCCCTGAGTGCTTCGTAGGCCGGGTTCCAAACACTCTCCAGTACGTCTGGAGCCAGGGCTGTAGGTTTGAGGAAGGACCAGAAAAATTGGCGAAGGTTCCAGGTATATTCTGTCTTAATATCTGTAGCATAGTTATCAGGCAGGCCTACCCTTTCTTTGACAACCATCGATCCCACGCCTGACCAGTCCTTTTGGTGTTCCTGTTCCGTATGCCGGATGAATTTCCAGATAGCAGCTTGATCACGAAGCATCCAGCCTAGTTTCTCTTTGTAGCTCTGCCAAGTAGATTTTAGTTTTTCCTCTAGTGTATCGAAGCCCGTCAAGCGAAGAATCCCGAAGTCAACAATAGCCTTTCTCTTAGCGGCAACTAAATCAACGTCCGGAGCTATCGGAATCTGTGTGGGATCAACCTCGCACACCTCCAGTAGACTTGAATAAAATTCTTGAATCTTTTGGGTGGTGGTTTGAGAGACGCGTAGAGGCACATCAAATGGCCAGATCATCCCATGCTCTTGACCACATGGAAGCCGCCACGTCACATTATCATCATTTGGATAGACAATAGCCATACTGACGAAAGACAAAAATGAGTACGTTCCCTTCCTTGGGTCACGTCTCAAAACAACCGGGTGAAGCAACTCGTTCAAAAGAAATATTGAATCATCCTCTATTTTGTATTCCTTTTTCTTCAGCGAAATCAGTATATGGCCATGGCGTCCCTTATCGATGACTATAAAGTGCTGACCAGTTTGGGGGTTTTTAGTCACACTATCCATAGGTGAAATATCACACAATTTGACCGCAAAAATACTCAGCGACCCGTCTGAATCAATCTCTACTTCTTGATCAAGCCCTACCGGCAACTCTTCTGGGTTACGAAACTCAAAAGGGTATAAAATCCGTACTATATTCGATTCTCCGATTTCAATTTGGTCGTCAGTATCGTTGACTAATGTAGTTATGTCGAATGAATTGTCTACCTGTAGACGCTGGGAGTAGTCGGGAACCCAAGAAGGTAGGTTTATTCGCTGTTCATTGGCTCCAAGTAGGTCAAATAATCGGAAGCTACGGTGGTTCTGCAATAGATATGCAGTTATTCCGGTATAAACAACCTCAACAGGGAGGCTGTAATCGACGCTAATTCCAGTCTCACCTAGAAGTCCAAGTATTGCATAGATTTTGTCTCGGGGGTCGAGACATTCATGAGTTAAGGCGTGGCGTAAGATGTTATAATAACTTTTGTCTACCAACCTTGTCCATGCCTCTCTATTGAATAATAGAAGTGAAGCGCAGCGTCGTATGCCGTTCGGCATAGAGGACCAATATGGCCACGCTACCGAACGGTCTCCGCAGAGTATATGTGGGCGTTTGGCATAAATGAGCTGTTGGACAAGCCATAGACCGGAAAAACATGGCCGGTTGAAGAGAGATCTTAGTGCACTCTTCGATTCCTCCTTCGTAGCAGCCACCCGAATAAGTACTGACGGTCCCTTTAGTTGTATCAAGCTCAGTAAATCTAGAGCAATGTCGCTATCTCTAGAAGGAGCTCCAATAAAGATCATCGACTGTAAAGCGTTCGCAAAGACACACTTGATCAATGCAACCCATCGTGACCTATCATCGTTGTTATTCTGGTCTATGGAGATTAAGTCTACCCAAACTGGTAGTGCATCGCTTAGATGTCTGACAGCTTTGAGACCAGCTTCGCAGTTTTTCGTGACATATATAACATCGCAACTGCGGTCAATATATACCGGGCGATTCCTTGGTTGAGGTTTATGAAGTATGTTTGTAGGTACCTCTTTTGAATATTGAGGAATCTGTTCTGAAAGCTTTTCGTCGGAAGAGTCTTCGGAAATGGAAGTAGGGTCGTCGAATGGTGAATAAGACAAAGTTTGGTAGGGCGGAGCATCCAAGTTCTTGAATGGTAATTCCATTAAATCTCCTCGAACAGGATCGTCACTCTGACCGGGGTGCAACCATAACAACCTGATATATCCTTCAGTAGCATCGGGGTAGGTATCGAGGCTGTTGGTACTTGCTACCGAAGGTACCAACTGCGGATCATGGGGAGGTTTAGATCCTGGTAAATACGGGATGAATATGTTATCGTAGGAAGTATTGGAATGGGTATATTTCACATTTTCCGGCCAAGAAAGATTCAAATGAGACACAGATTCGATGTGAGGAACAGTCAACGTGGAAGTCACTTCAACTGGCTCCTCGTGTGACCAGCGAGATAAACAAGAGTTACATCTGGCTGTATCGTCTATGATCACGACATCTGGCCGTTTACAGCCAGTCTTATGCCAGTGATGCATTTTAGCAATATATATTTTTCGTTAGGAGTGTGGTAGAAGCAGAAGTAGCATGATGGATTCTGTGACTCTTTCCATCGAAATATAAATAAGGCAGCAACTAGATTAAACTTTCGGAAAGAGCCGCATCCCGGTTCAATATTAATCCGATATAAAGTGACGTCACGTGGCAGGTCTCGGGCCAAGATGGCGTTTTCGACCTCCACGTTTATACAACCCAAAGCATCGAGCTCAACTCAAGCTATTCTCCGCATTTTGACAGGCTGGTCGACATCATGCCACCTCCTAATTCCCCGGGAGAAGCCTCAACGTCGACACCTATATCAAAGTAAGCTCCAAGAACTTCACTTTCAATTCTAGGCTAGCTAATCTAGGAACGAACTAGACCAGCTCCTCCGCCTTTCTACCTTCCCATCAACACAGTATTCTACCTATGTCTTCTCTCAAACACCCTTGCTGCCGCACTATCGCCCATCCAGGACTGCGATGAAGTCTACAATTACTGGGAACCCACACACTACTTGACCCATGGTCACGGCCTACAGACGTGGGAGTATTCTCCCGAATATTCTATCAGAAGCTGGTTATATGTCGGTCTACACGCTGGTCTAGCTAAGGCTCTGGGACTCTTTGCACGGACTAAGTCAGCGCAGTTCTATATGGTGCGGTTAGCCCTTGGGCTTTTTTGCACGATATGTGAGACGCGCCTGTTCGCTGCAATTTCTCGGTCACTTAATCCGAGAATCGGGCTTTTCTTTCTTGTAATTGTGATATTCAGTCCTGGGATGTTTCATGCGTCTACAGCGGTACTGCCGTCAAGCTTTTCGATGTACATGTCTATGCTGGGGCTGGCTGCTTTCCTTGATTGGCAAGGTGGATTGAAAACCGTTCAAGGGGTCATTTGCTTCGGTATTGGAGCCATGGTCGGCTGGCCGTTCGCGGGAGCATTGGCTATACCATTTTTACTAGAAGAGATTGCAGTGGCTTGGTCTCTAGGAGATATTGCACCCGCGATGAAGCGGATACTGGAAGGGGTCGTAAAATGCCTGTTAATCTTGGTATGCCTTTCTGTCTACAAATGCAGCCGTTCAAAGTACTGATAACTAATTTATTGGCAGTCTGTTGTGGTCTTGGTTGACAGCATATTCTACCGTCAATTCGCCCTTGTTCCATGGAACATTGTGGCCTATAACGTCTTTGGCGGCTTTGGCAAAGGTCCTAATATTTTCGGGACCGAACCATGGACTTTCTATTTCAAAAATCTCCTGCTCAATTTTAATATGTGGACCGTTCTTGCGCTCTCCAGCATTCCTCTGCTGGGTCTCCAGGCCCTGTTTCGTCCTCACAAAACCTCTGCACAAACACTTTTCAGATCAGTGACTCTGGTAATGCCGTTCTACATGTGGTTCGCCATTTTTACTCTTCAACCTCACAAGGAAGAACGATTCATGTACCCTGCCTACCCGTTCCTAGCCCTAAATGCCTCCATCAGTCTGCATATAATTCTAGCATATGTCGGATCGTCGGATCCGGGAACATTGGTTGGCAAAATACCCGCTAAAGTGAAGCTCATTATAACTGTCATCCCTGTGTTACTGGCCATAAACATTGGACTTCTAAGGACCGTGGGTGTAGTGACGGCTTACAGCGCTCCTCTACAGGTATTTGATGCGCTACTGCAAACGGACGGTGCTCAACCTGACGGTTTCGTATGTTATGGAAAGGAATGGTACCGATACCCTTCTTCCTTCTTCCTTGCGAACAATAATCTTCGAGCGAAATTTGTCCAGAGCGAGTTTCGAGGGCTGTTGCCAGGGGAATTTGCTGAGTCCGGGGCTGGCCTTGGATATTTCCCGGGAACATGGACTGTTCCTGAAGGGATGAATGACCGGAACCTGGAGGATCCAGAGAAATATGTAGGTTCAATGACAACTCTTCATCTAACGAATGCTAACATGTTACTAGATTGATATTTCTCAATGCACGTATTTGGTGGACTCCTATTTCCCAGGTGATAAGGAGACTAAGTTCGAGCCTCACTATATTCTCGACACCGAGACGTGGGAAAAAATCTCATGTAAGCCATTCTTGGATACCCGCCGCACCGGTGTCTTAGGACGAACGATCTGGATTCCAAGCCTGCCTTTTATACCAAAGAAACACCAGCGTGTCTGGGGAGACTACTGTCTGCTTAAACGAAGAGCTGCCTGAGACGGACAACGCATATTAATGCCACAAACTACCTACTGCTCTCAACGAAAGCTGCGGTAGCCACAGACTCAGTGACGCCTATCGACACCATCAGATCCGGTCTAAGGGCCAGAAAACTCCCGGACAACTAGGAGGTCGAGCTAGATTAATGCTCCGGATGGGTTAACAGAACAAGGAAGTCTTGCAGACGACGAATGAAATGACACGGCACCCGACAAGGCTTCTTGTGCGGAGGTTTACATGGGGAGGAGCAAGTAAATGTCCATCGAAGGGTAAATATGAGGACAGCTTATTAGCTGTGCTGGGTTAATATAGGATAGTTACGTCAAACTTACGGGATATAGCGGTCCTCCCGCTATATTTGGAATACTACTTAGTATCCGACAGTCAATTAGATAGCAAGGACATACGCGTCTAGGAGTTAGTCGAAGAGGAGACCAGTAACTAAGTGATGTTCAAAAATCAATTCAAATGTCAACTGCTCCAATTGAAGAGGACCTATAGACCGTGATGTGATGAATTGAGGCCACAAAACCGTGTAACGGCTGTCAAGAAGCCGACGAGAGGACGAGATGAGTCCAGGGGCAGTCGAGGCAGCACGCGCTAGAAAGCATCACAATAGGCAAGCTAAACACATACCAGCCCTCTGGGCAGCGGGTATATCAGGCACTCTGTTAGTGCTGTTTTCAAGCAACAAGCGTTGATGGTGTAGCGGTAGCACACGACTCTTCCATCGCACCGACTGATAAGTTGAGATCCGGGTTCGACTCCCGGTCGACGCAGCGCTTTCTTTTTTGCCCCCTTTTTTTTTTTTGGGTCATCAGCTCTGAAATTGATGACAAATATTATATACTAAGCTCATCCCATCAATGACAACGCGCCAATTAATAAGTGCGTGCCAACCTCGGGTCAGCGTCGTTCTGGCCAGCTTGCACCTCAGCTTGCTTTCGGTTGCTTGGTTGCTTTCCAACTTGCCCTTGGTTCGCCTGGAGTCAACCAGCTCGCGAGACAACTTACATGACAGCTTGCTACATCATCACCACCAGCGACTCTGACAAAACTCAGATGAAGACAAAGTTCGCTCAAGACCAAGTCAATTCAGGGTGAGGAAAAAAAGCTGTCGATTAATGCTAGTTTGATGCGTAATTGTATACCTATTCGTACAAAATGCTCCCTTCCCTCTAAGTAACGCAAATGCAAAAGAGATGCCGAAAATCACCGTGTTTTCCATGCCCCGTTCAAATTGCCCAATGCACGCATTCGTCGTCCATTTGCATAATTTCATTGCGTCGCATCCCAGCCAGTTTCCAAGTTTAACCACAGTATGGTGTGCGGTTCGAGTGAGCTCGTCATCGTTCATTATGGTTGTTTTCTTTTCTTTGCTGCGATCTCATGTCTCCTTTGCTTCGGCGCCGAACTAACTCCACCAATCCATGTTCATGTCGATGATGATGTTCCATGCATGTTTCATGCCCAACTTCATGTAGGAGAAAAAAAAGGGAAGGGGAAGGGTAAGAAAAAGAAAAAAAAAAGTAAAACATGGAAAAACAAAAAACAAAAAAGGTAATTAAGTATGAGTTCGTGGTAAGTATAATCTTTCATTGCAGTAGTAATATTTTGGTGTAAGAATGTCATCTTCGTCTTTCCTTCCTTGTTCCATTTCCTTTTTCTTTCCAGAAAGAGAAACTCCGATATGCAAACGACGAAAAGAGAAAGAAGGTGCTAAGAATAGGATAATTGAGTAATGACGTCACTGCCAAGACGATCGATCGGCCAGGCCCCACTTCGGTCCGACTTTTGATTCTGCCAAACTCTAAAACCGCGTGGTTTTCTTGGTTGGGGTGTGGTTGTGACGTCATAATAAACATCATACCCTCGCTCTCGAAAGGTAGCTTCAAGCTCGCTCTCGAGATGGGGTATGTGTGTGCCTGTGTGCGTGGGTGTGCAGTGCGTTGGGTGCTTCTTTTTTTTTTTTTGGGTTATTTTTGCAAAAATAGGAATCCACAATTCGATGAATGCTATGAGCCAGGGGAGGAAGGGGAAAGAGGAGAAGAGATGAGGGAAGGAGGTTTAGTCCTCACGACCTCTTCGCTTCTGCTTACCCGGCCAGGTGACGTTGGGGTGGACGACGCGCATGTGCCGGGTCAGAGCATCGTTGCGCGAGAAGGTCTTTTCCTCGGTGCACAGGTGGCAGCGCACCTTTTGCTTGCGGGCATTGTGTATCGTATCTTCATGGCGCGTAAGGTCGTACGGCCGTGAGAAGATGGAGTTGCATGGCTTGCCTGTCGATGGGTTGGTGCGCTCGCATCGATGAGGTCCGTCCTGGGAGTTACGGGCGCTAAGTCCGCGTGCGCCCAGCGTTGAGCTGTCACGCGAGAGCATGTGTGAGCCCGGCGTAGTCTGCCGGTGGGCCTCGCGCTTATGTTTCTGTAGCCGAGCGGGTGTCTCAAAGCGCCGGGTACAGCCGTGATAGGTACAGCTGTAGGTGCCAGCTTCAGAGGCAGTGTCGTCTGGTCGGCCGGCAGCCAGATCCGAGTCGTGATCCTGCATCTTGCGGTCGACGCCAGCGGCCTGGTCAAGACCAGCCAGAGCGGCAGCGAACTCGGCGCTGTTCTGCTGGTGCTGAGGGTGGCTGTGGTGTTGTTGATGTGGGGGCTGGTGCTGTTGTTGGGGAGTGTTGGTCTGGTATTGTAGTACGTCCGCACCGGCAGTCTGACCGAGAAAATAAGGCTGAGGTGTATTCTGGGAGGCGGAGGAAAAAGGGGCAAAGGCATCGTTGGAGAAGTCGGTGTTGGCCAGTGTTGTTGCCACGGCAGCCTCAAATTGGGAAGCCTCGGCCTGAGAAGGAAAAAGGGGCATGCTACTGCTGTCCGCGGGAGACTTGTGGAACTCAAGCATGGCGTCCTTGGGTGATATGGTCTTCGGCTGCTCTTCGTGGCCGTTGTGGCTCATGAGCTCCATTCCTCGCAGGGATGAATTCATATGCGATGGGTGGTGAAGAGCATTCTGGAAGACGCTGACCTGCTGGGTCCAGGGGGAGGCATCCCGGGGGGAGTTAGCTCGGGCGTTCATGTGACCCTGAGGTGTGGCTGACGAGTTGTGACTCAGTGTTGACACGGAGGGTGGGAGAGTGTAGGAGGGGAAAGTAGTTGCTTCTTCCTCAACAGCGTGAGCTGCCTGTTGCTGACGATGCTGATGTTGTTGTTGCTGTCTCTGCTGTTCAAATACAGCTCGTCTCATTGCCATTTCCATATCCGTATGGTCCCCTGCATTTCGGTATGAGGGAGACGGGTCGTAGGAAGCGAATTGTGGCTGACCCAGAAAGGAGGCCTGCACGGGAGTCTGCTCGGGGGTGGGCAGAGGCTTGGAGGAGCTTTGGTCGTAACCTGAGTAGTTGTGGTAGCCAGAAGTGAGGGAGATGTTGGAGGAGGAGGATGGTGTGCGCCTATGCTGGGCGGGTTGCTGATGCTGTTGTTGCTGAGGTTGTTGTTGCTGAGGTTTTGCAACGACGCTTGAGGTTCCGGGTGTCTGGCCGGCTGCTCTGGGAGAGAGACGGTGACGGTTACGTTGTGGCGGCAGCAGCGTCTGGAGATCTCCTTCATAAGATAGGCCGGACTGCAACAGCATCTGGTTGTTGTTGCTGTTGTTGTTGTTCGCGGCAGCGGCAGCAGTGGTGGTGCGGTGGTTATTGTTATTATTACTGCTGCCGGTATGCGGCGAAGACTGGAACACCTTTATTGAAGGTGGCGGTGGAGTATGCGATAGACCGTCTTCCCGAGGCGGGAAACTCTCGTCGGGCATAGAAAAGCCGCCTGCGCCGTGGTAGAAGGAAGAGATGAAGTCGGTCTCAGGAGAGCCCTGGACAGAGAAGACAGGAGAGGCGGAGTCGTAGGCGTATGGGGAGGCCACGGCAGATGAAGAAGACTCTGGCGGCGGGGTAGAGCAGCTGTGGTAAACAGGGAAGGTCAACGATGGACTATCACTGATATCACTGAAGGTCTGGTGGTGATGTTGTTCTTGCTGTTGTTCTTGCTGGAGGTTGTGGTGTTGGTGTTGGTGGTGTTGATAGGAAGAGAGAAGCAGCTGCGACTCAAGCTGGTTAAGCTGGTCGAGCTGGTCTTGTAAGAGGGTTTGCTCTGCAAAAGGGCCGGTGCTGTGGCGGATATATGATGTCGACAGTGAAGGGATGGAGGACAGCATCCTCTCTAATAGATATACCTGCCCGCGAGTCCGGAAAAAGTTGCAGCGAGGTTCAAGTGGCGAGAGAGCCAAGACCTCAAATCAACCTCCTTTAGGGCTGAAACTCTGTGGAATGCCTTTGCTTTGTACCACTGGATTCGAATATAGTAATAATAAAAAGAATATAACAAAAAAAAAAAAAAAAAAGAAGGGAAGAAAAGGCGGGAGGTGGTTTGTTATATCTGCGGTGCGGCAACCCAATGCGTGGTCATGGAGGTCCTCTTTTGCTTTTTGGCTTTTTCTTTTTGGCTTTTCAGCTCCCTTCGGGTGGCCTTGGTAAGTTGGTGTAAGGTGTGGCTGGTGCAAGGAGTATGCTGTGTGAATTGAAGTGTCGCCGGCTGCGTCTTCTCCTTGCTGGTTGGTGGTTGTTTTGGCTGCTGTTGATTGATTTTCCTGAGGAAAAGTGATGAGAGCGAAATATCCAGGCAGTTCTCTTTTCTTTACTATATAGTATCCGCGTCTACGTAAAAGTCTAATCATTTTTTGCAAAGGCTAATCCGCGCTAGGCCGGATCTGGAAGATTTGACGTGGCTCTTTTTTCATTATTGCAACCTTAATCTTCACCGCCTTTAGTCATCCGCGCTAGGCTGTATCTGGATGCCAAGGCCGTTTCCGCACTAAAACTTCGGGCTTGGGGGCTTGTGCACAGGGCTATTATGCAGGACATCGACGACATCGAAAGAACATGGAAGAAGCAGGGCGAGCATCGTGAGGAGCAGACGAAGCGCCCGCGCCCTTATCGCTTTCCCGTCTCTGGGACGCAGAGAGCACCAGGGCCCAGAGAGCGCAGGGAAGAGGGCCATAGGGCTGCTTCCCAGACGACCAGGTCAGCCATAGCTAGCCAACCCCCTAGTCGTCACCCCACGACTCGCGGAATTAACAGGTTACTCTACTACACTAGGTAGATACAAAAACACAAAAGGGCAGCCGAACTACTCCGGTCTCCGTCCTCCGTCTTGCTCCGTACTCCGTATGCGCTTCTTCTCCCTACCCGGAGATACTGGAGTCGAAAAGGAAAAAGCGAAAGGAACAAAAAAAAAAGGTCGAGTGGTCTGTGGCTTTACCCTTGCCCTGTCCGGTTACACCGATCGAACTCCGCCACAATGACATTAACCAACTAAGAAGTCAAAAAAGCAACGAAACTCAACCTGCATGCATGAATGCGACCTGATGCAGTAATTCATCGTCATTTGGTTGTCCCTTCTTGCTTCTTCCGGCTACGACGAGATTCTCATCGGGCTCGCTCTTTTGCAGTGGCTTCATTGCTTTTTGGAGAATGATGAGTTTTGCTTCTCTTTCTCTCTCTCTCTCTCTCTTTTTTTTTTTTTTTTTGCTTTCCCTGTCCCGTCAGTACTTGCTTGCTTACTCGTTACTTACTTCACATGTACAGTGTGGTTTAGCTCATCATTAATATGAGCGACTTATGTGGCTAGTGAAGTCGATCGTGGGGATCGTCGTCGATAGCAGCGCATAGTTCGAGAGAGATGATGATGATGATTATGACGATGAGACCTCCACGTTCTGTTACTCTAGCCACGGGATTAACTCATCCATGGGTGTAGTGCTGCTCCGACCACGCTGCATCGTCCCCAGCTGTCTTCTCAAAAATCCTGTGCTATCCCCCTCTATCGCTGCGACGAGCCCGCCCTGGCTCGGCTGTCTGACTCGTGGTGGTCATCTGACCTCGAACCCCGGACGGACTTATCTCGGCCGCCGGGAACATCGAAACCTCAAAAACCTCAAAAGGTCGGCTTAACAGTTACATGCGCAAGCGGGAGTAATATTAATACATCCAGATTATCCCCGTCCGACAGCGAGGTTCTGGCCGGTGACTACGGTGACTACAAGAATGATTACTGATGCGCCGATGACACAATGACTTGGCCGTCAGGTCTTTGACGCTTCGACTCAAGCTAGTCAGTTACCCTGTCGACCGGGTTCATTTGACAAATCAATAAAATAATATGAATACACTGTCCAAACCACTAGTCATTAGGGGCACGGCAACTACTTCGCGTCCCGTCGTAGTGGTACGTAGGGCCTAGCAAGGGACGGTAGGCTCGGGAAAGGGTTTGTCTGGATAGGGATAGGATAGTTTCCGAGATCCTGGGCTCTCTCTTGTCTTTTTTGTTTTTCCTCCCTTAGTCTTTTCTAATTTACTACTGACTTTACGACACGGGCGGGATCCGATACCCAGGTTGCTCTGTCGACCAGGTTCACGAGCTCGTCTATTCCTGTTAACCACTTTAGTTGCTACTACTGGGTATCGAGTCTCTTTCTCGGCCTTTTCACAGGGAATCTCGAGAGAGCAGACCAGGCGAAACAGCAGTCCACTGGATTGAGAGAGCAAAGCAAGACCAAAAAAAGCAAAGAGAAATCCAAGATCCGTAATTCGATAGATCACAGAAGTCAATCTCAGATCTCAATCTCCAGTTCCGAAGTTTAGCCAGGGAGAAAGGAGGAGAAACATGTGGTTTTTAGTGGTGGTGCGATGGTAAATGGTTTGTCTTGTTGTCGGCTGTAGATCCATATTGCACCATCAACCTCTTGTACGGCCCAGATGCGAGTGATCATTCGTCCGCCCATCGTTTCGCACGACGACGGCATTTGATTTAGGTCTGAAGCAAGACGCAAAAAGTCGGCCTTAGGGATTTGAACGATAACCTAGTTGGTGTTTCCCCCTTGTTCTTGGTTTTGGCCGTGATTCTGAAGCGAAACAAATCTTGGTCCCGAGCTGGGAGTCAGGCAGGCAAGAGTGGACATGAACTAGGCATGAACCGTGTGAGCAGTGTAACGCTCGTGTTGGTGTTGGGGTGCTGCCGATGTTATGGTGACGCCTATTATCAGCTATTGTTATGATATCAATACAGATAACCCCGTACCAAGCGGTGGTTAGTACTACAGTATCTGCCCGTTCCAGATCGATGATTCCATCAACGACATCAGATCTCGTCATGTGGCGGTGCAGCGAGTGAAAAAGACAGCATTGTTCTTCACATCTCGACAGGGCTTGTAGCCAAAGAGCAAGCAAGGAAAAAAAAAAAAAGCAAGAAGCTTCCCAGAAGTGGAAACGAAAAAGATGATTGCTGGCTTGAAAAGAGAGCGAAAAAGCAAGGAAAAGGCAGAGGAACGGGAAGGGTTAAGCGCCAGTGTACTATTGGCGAGAGACGAGGTAGCTGGTACATGCATGAGGCCTCGCGGATAACTTCACGATACCAAGACACAGTAACTAATGATAGCCGTGTAGGACGTTGTTCACCTCGGAGTTGGCAGCAGGAGAGCCGGCGACGGCCAGCCTACGGGGCCGAGATCCGACGCCGACGACGACGACAACGAGGAGCAGCATGAGCTATCGGATGTTCCGACGGAGCCACTTGCTGCTATCCTGCCTATATTCCATTTATACTAATCGAACGGAGCATCTGCTAGGCTGTTTGATAGCGGGGATGGCAGAAACTCGTGGCATCTGTTGGGAGTTCCGAGGAGAAAAAGTACAAGCTACTCATGCGCAAAGGCGGGTACCTACAGCCCTACGGACAAGCAAGACGGACGACCCCCTTTTTTCTAAGGAGCACACCGCACTTCTTCAGGATATCCCATCAGCCAGCTAATGAACCGGCCAGTGGGGGGAAAATGGCACAAAAGAGGGAAAAAAAACCCCATCTTCCAATCACTATGGGAGAAATACCTGCACAGCCACAACTTGAGTTACCCTCTTTTTTTGCTTTTCATTTTTTTTTTTTTTTTTTTTTTTTTTAGCTTCATGTGTCCGATCTGTCTCATCTGGCGGCTAAAAGGAGCAGAGAACGTGAGCCGCGATGACGATCGGGCGTTGTCGATCGGTTGAATGCTGCCGAATACGGCGCTTGGCTCTGGCTGCTGTGCGGAAACGAGAAGGGCCACAGGTGAGGCTGTGCTGAGCCACGGTGGCTAGTGAAGCCAACTCAACTAGTCATGCGCGGTGATGGTGTTCGATGGAGTCAGTGATGGGGGGTTTGGAGAGATTGCCAGACAGTTTGTGGTGGTTTGTGGCTTGCATGGCCCATGGTCCCTCTCCGGGTCATTCAGGTGACATGGAGAGCTCGACGGATACTACATCTCCAGCGCTATCATTATTCCTACGGGGGTACGCTCGCTCTTCAGGGCGAGCGAGTCATGAGATCCTCTTGTCTAAGACATGCCGTGGCCAGAGCTCGTCAGGTTTGCTCCCTAGTCTGAACTACTCCGTACCAGAGTCCAGGCCTGGAACCAACGTGCCTGGCGCGCAACGGGGCCGACGGGCCTCTAGGCCAGAAGCCAGCGCAAGATGCAGAGAAATGCGATCGGTGGGAAAAGAAAGGAAAAGGGTAAAAAAAATTCTTCACCCAGGACACATGGCATCTCGTATCCTTCTTCCCAGCGTCGTTCTCTCCGCTGTTGATTGGCCCTATGCAGCCCTATCTCGACTCCCCCACCACCCTTGCGACGAAATTTTTTTTTTTCCTTCTCCTCCTGTCTACTGAACTTCTCTCTCTGACTAAGATCATCATCTCCCTTTGCTTGCTTTTTCTTTTTCTCAACCTTCCCTCTTGTCTATCCCTTGCATATCTTGTCCCTCCCCCTTGTTCCTTCGTCCACTCTCGTCTGTGCGCTTGATGAAAATTTTACTTTTCTATTTTTAATTTTAAGCCCAAAAGCTTAAAAGTAAAAATATTCTGCCGGTCTTGGCGTGCAAGGTCCTAGCATCAAGCAAGGAAAAAAGGCTTTTTGCAAGGAAAGCAACAAAGACAGAGAGAAGCTAGAGAAAGGACGGAAGACGGCGACCGGAGATGCAAGGCTTGACCTTGTGTTGCACGATCTCGACGTTTTTTTTCTTTTATTTTATCCCCGTGTGGCTGAGGTGTCGAGCTTGGACGACACATGGCATTCCTACGAAAAGGAACCGCATCCGCACTTCTACCGGCTCTGCTCTCGACGTGCTAGCCATACTTATATCGCACCTCTTGCTCCTCTCCACACACCTCCTCTTCCCTGGCCATGATCAGTGCCAATACATGGGCACCAATCTGCTTGGTGCAATCTGTCATCTCGTTTCTTTTGCGTCTCTCTTACCCACACCTACCGGACATACTCACGGAGTTCTTCACAGCAGGCTTAGGGTTCGGAAGCAGCAAAGAAGTAGGCATAAAGATGGTCGATGAAACAGTGGAAAGCGGGTGGTGGTGGACCGTCAACCCTCTCTCTACCCCGGCCGAGTTAGGAGTGACAGCCCCGCAGAGAATCCTGATTCGCTTCTCAGAGCATGCACACGAACCCCGTGCTTATTTAGACAGAAAATCGCCACTGGAGATGTTCATTGCCAGGCTTTTTCGGTTTGGGCCTTCTTTTTTTGTGGGTTTTGGGGACTGGACAGTGAATTCGCTATTCATGCGCCCCCCCTTCTCTTCTCAGCGTACAGATGTTTACGGCGGCGCAGGTGTTTACGTCGCTTTGCCAGAGATATTCGTCAATGTCAGCTGGGACTGACACTGACACGAGCACAGGCATTGGCTTTTGGCCAGTCTTGAGCCGAGTGAGCGTGGTTTGACAGGACGAGGCGAATATTTTTATTTTATGTTTCGACGGATTTGATTTTGATTTCGTCTTCCTTCTTACCAGTCCCAAGGTGCTGGGATCCAGGGGTCCATCCTAACCGTCTACCAAGTTTGGGTTGGGCTGGTACCTTTTTGCCTCCCTCGAACTCGACCAGTCCCCTGTGAACACTGACACAACAGACACATCCTTGACGCATGAGCGTGACTTGCATGTCGACTCTCCCTCGACGTTTAAAGTCCCCTCCCTACCCAGCCATGACGTACGCAGGCAAGACTCGCTAATGCATCGCTGTTGATTATTTTCCTGATTACTATTCCCCTTACCTTCTGTCTGACGTGCAGAACCGTTACGCAACCAACGCCCCGGAAAGGAATCAATAGCCACCTCTACTGTTCTCTCTCACCACGCACATATATGCGGGCGTATACATATATGAGGTGACCGAACTCCTCAACCCATGGAACATATATAAACATGCATACACGACGCCACACCTATTTTAAAGCCACAACTCTCTTTTCACTCTTTTCGTCATTATATATAGTTGCCCCCTTTTTGCCTCCTCTCCCGTTTCTCCGTTCAGTGAAGAAACGAAGAATAAGAAATAAGAAATACTAATCTGAGGGAGGAAGTGGAACCTGGAGAAGGGTTGAAAGGTAAGAGGTACTCTACCGACTTATTTTTACGCATGTGCGCCTATTATCACCAAGATATGCCTTGGTACAGTATGGCCAGTCTGCATGCGTCAATGAGAAACCAGCCAGCTACCTTTGCCTCACACCACCACCACTACCACTACCACTACAACCAGCAACTTCTAGCCTACCACCAGCAATATCTAACCTACCATCCAATCATCCAAACACCGATATCCCATGAAGGTAGTCGCTGAGAGGCAAACGAGAGGAAGAGAAATATGTAGGGCATTGCGTATTCTCGCCTCTCTGCCCTCACGCAAACAACACCATCACTTGATCAATCAGGTGTGACAGCAAAGACGAACAGGCAAAAAACCAAACCGTCCAGTCGTTACTGTCAAAAGCCAGAATACAATCAAACATTAATGTAACGAGTACATTTTTCAAAATGGTTAAACCCCAGGGATCTAAAACGAACCTAACCCATCGTACCGGAAACTTGAAGCGCAGTACGGAGTCTTCTGATATTATCAAGCCAATTATTAACTCCCCCCCTCCCCCCAACGACCTACCACGGACGAGAGTGAAAGGCCCAGTGCCCCCTTTACCTAACTAACCGTTCGCCTTTCTTTTTTCCTTCTCAATTCTTCTTCCCTTTCTCACTAACTGGACTAACTAACCCCCAACGAACCACCCTAACTGCCCTATCGACTCCCCAAACCCCCTTTTTCCCAGCGACTCTCATGTCCATCTCTACTCCAGCAGCCCAACCAGCATCCTCTTTTCTGCCGGTGGATATTGGTCTTCCCTCTTTTTTTTTTTCACCTCCTGGCTGGTCAACAATTTTTCAACTCATTAATTATTTTTTTTTTGCAATCAGTTTGTTGCTCAGTCTTCTCCACAGCCTTAGTTATGCAGCACCGTATCTCCAGGTAAAAAGGCCGATAGGCGTTACTTCTTGTGCTCCGCCGAATTCAGCTTTTTTCGAAATACCGGGCGCCTGTCTCACGGTAACATCTATAGAGCTAAGCACTAGCAACAGACTACTACAACGTATATAAGACCTCAGAGTCGCGGAAACTGCGGAAAGACGTGATGAAAGAAAAGAAAGGAAAGAGAAAATAAAAAATCAGGTTCATCCGTCTGCCCGCTCTGTGACTAGCCTTAGTTAAACAGCTGCACGGTATGATTGATTGTTCTGCTCTATCCATGCACACCCATTCTATACCTGGCGTATATGCCATTCCGGACCAGTGCTGGTTTATTTGACTATCCTTCCATCCGTACCTTGATAGTTAACTAAGTAAGCAGCTGCTTGATTTTTGTGCTCTTGTTGGCCGAGGACGCCTCACTACGACCAACTATGTATCTCGACTCGCTAAGCCCCTTTACCATCCAGTGTTGCTAACCAACTAGTTAACGAGTGCATGTATCCGTATGCGACATCCTACAAATGGGCCATGGAGATTTTTATTTTCTCCTTTTATCCTTCGTATGTCTTAGTTACCAGCTACCTGTCAAACTTTGCGGCCCTCATTCTTCCTTACACCAATCCGGGAAATGGTACAGCCATGGCCCTTTCACGCTCCCCGTGGACGTCGACGGAGAAGAGGAAAAAGGACATCGGGATTCAAGGCAGGACACCAGAAGCCATCTCACCAGCCAACTAACTCGCTCAAAAACAGGGAATCGAAACGAGGAGGAAAAGAAAAGAAGGCCCGCACCAATGTTTAAAGTGTCTTCTAGGCGAGTTTCTAGAAGAACTTTCTTCCGGGTCTTTTATTTGCGTTTCTCTTTGCTTTTTCTCTTGCTCTTGTTTCTTCTGCTGCTGGGCTGGCTTGCTGGCTGCTGGCGGTGTTTTTTTTTTTTTTTTTTTTCTGCTGCTTGCTGTCTGGTTGCTGGTGCTGAAATTTTCATTTCCCAGTTCAAGGCCAGGGACGGACCGAGCACCATAGTCCGCGTGAGTACGAGTGAGCATCTCGGATGTTCACCAAGGGAGAATTCGAGGATGGCCCCATCTCCGGATTCTGGGTCGGAGTTTTTGCGACCCAGTTCGTGATCAGGATTCGGGATTCTTTCATTTATGCAGCGGCCTTGAACAGGAAACGAACAGGGATGGTGTGAGGAGATTTTTTGCTTCCTTATAGATCATTAATGATATAAAGTGATTGTCAGCAGATACGGTTCGATCCCAGCCGACGAAATTAAAGGGGAGGGAGTTGGTAGGACTTTTTTTTTAAAAAAAATCTCTTTCTCCCATCCCATGTTGTTATGGTTATTGTGACCAACAAGGAAGACAAGGTTCAGTGCGTGCAGCATCAAGGAACAAACGTATCAGAGATGTTGGCTTCCGACCTGCGCTGACTTTCTTCCCATGTCTGTTCGCTGAAGAAGTCCGAAGAGTGATCTGATCTGCCAGGCCAAAGCAAAGCAAGATAGCAAGCCAACATCTGGTATGGGCATCAGCGCATTAAGGTTGAACCGCATAAGATAGTAATTAAAAATGGGTCCCATTATCTGGTCTCATGCTTTTTCAGGTCGCAGATTGGCTGTGCCATTAGATTAAGACGACCGACCAACAGTTGGTGGTGCTTTGTCTCCATTCAATATATTGGCTGGGACGTGGGATGTCACTCTCGAATGCCTTTCCCCGAATCGCTCTGTCTACAGCAGTTTGATACCTATAACAACGGCGGTTATATAGAGGCGACAAAGAAAGGAAGAAGGGGGGGGGTTAACTGGCCCGATCGGGAAGGTATACACTGTACACCGTAAGGCACACATACACACCCCCTTTTTCCGCCCCAGGGTGCACACATCGGAGTGTCCCGTATATGTTACGGATTGCTGCGTATGACAATGCTGGACTTGATAACAAGGTGCGGACGGGGGAGGAAACTGATCGTGCAACAGGCAGTGTGATAAATAGGAGTGGGTCGTTCCCACCATCCCGCTCTGCCCTGAACTGCAAGTAAATATGTTTATTTAGTGCAGCAGGAGTAATAGCTGTAGAGTCCTCCGAAGTTATAGAAATATCAGTCCCCTAACTAACTTACTAGTCGGCATTAAATTCTCACTCCAGCCAGCCAACAGTCCGCTTCACCAGACTGTGCAGCGTTTCATGGACGCAAAAGCAAAGAAAAGGGGGACGCCCAAAATGTGAGCAATCAGGCGGCTCTCGACTTTATTTATTTTTATTTTATGATGCTGCCGGGGTATCAAGGCAGAAAAATGTGATTGTGAATCTGGGAGTTGAATCCCCCCTGATCTCGGGGGGACGAGAGCCAGAAAGAGAAATGAGCACGCAGTCTTTTTCAAACCGCCTCGATGGAGACGGCATCGAGGTCTTCTCCGTGGTCTCCGTCCAGTTAAAACTAGCTGGCTAGTGCGATGTCCGCAGACGTGCCTGAGGCTGCTTGTTTGTCTCGTTACCGAGTGTCATCCAATAGCATCCCGCATGCTTGAATCATCGCGTGCGCCCATCGAGACTGACGATGAAGGATCTGTTCCTTTCGGGTAAGGCCTCCGATCGATCGCTCGATCTCCTTGGAGATTGGCCATTGGACCCCCCTTCCCAGCCATGCAGCGAGTGGTGCGGTGTCATTTGTCAGAGGGTAGTCTGCAGCCCAACAGCCCCCAACCCCCGTTCTCGAGTCATATGGGATCTCTTGATACCTGACCTGACTGCCTAACTAACCGCCAAACGAGACGGATGAATCTGGAAGCTGCAGGCGCTTCCCGCAGCAAATACGAAGGTTTGCACCGTCTCTGCAAATACGGTCGGGTCTGAATGGCGACATCGGGGCCAGGAGCAACAGCCGACGTCAACAATTAGTGCCAACGATCATGGATAACTCAAATCCGTTGGCCTGGCGGTGGGATAGATAGTTAAACTAGGATGATCCGCTATGACCGGCCGGCGTGTTTGGTTTGGGTGTTTTTGGCGCGGGATGGAAGATAAGCAGAAAATGCTCATATATCCCATCCTGCAAAACCGATGAATGCGTGTGTATATGGGCTTGTTCACCGATATTTCTTCCCGAGCGAGAAAAAAAAAAAAAAATAATTGGGAGTTGCATCCATGTCCATTCATGACAAGCCATGTATCCCATCTCAGATTCGATATGAGCGAGTGTATACGAAGTAGACGATACAAGAGCCTGTTCACCGCTCCCGTAAGCGTTGCTGATATGAGGTCGTAAAAAACGCATCTTATGACATGCCCTGCATAAACCCCAGTGTCTCCTGACGTGCAAACTGGCGATATATAATAACTAACCATGCTTGATTTGCGGTGATATCTCGGGACCGAAAACAAGCTCATCGTGGCATCCAGATTTCGTGGTATGGATGGTAGGGCGCTGGCAGTCGTTTTCATCCATGCACCCATCCATGAACCGGTTGTATGTGATATTCTGCATATATGTGTCAGTTATGTCTGTTGATCGACGCATACGGCATGCATATCAGATACATACAAACAGGGGGGTAAAGAAGTGGTCTTGATATCCAGTGCGTTAGAATTATGCATTTTGACACGTCGTTTCAACGCTCGAGCCGATCGATCCTGCGGCGAAGGTCAGGCATATCAAAAGAAACATGCAAATAAAAACCAAATCCCGATGGTGTAGAGGTGCAAATCAGGGGTATGTAAGTAGGTAGGTGTCGTATTGTGGGTTTGGCGTTGATCATCTGGTGGTATCAATTGAGGGCATTTGTTAATGGTGGGATATCAAATTGTTAAAGCCTAAGTTTATTCAGATAGACATGCTATTATCGAGCACAAGCTATTATTGAGAAGTAGTAGAGTATGAAACCGAGACCAATATTCATTCACTTTTTATTCCTACAGAGATAGATAGATCCATATTGAGCCACCAACGACTCAAACCAATAAATTCAATTCAAAATAAAATATGCAAAAGGGCACCCGAAACGCAGCAGGCAACCAAGAAAGATCAACAAACATAAGAGTAGGCAGAGTAGATACGACTAATACCTCCAATTCACACACATTAGCTGTATAGATAGATGATAGATAGATGGTAGACGGGATCCGGTCCGTCAGGTCCAGTATCAATTTCGTATGTGTTTTTGTTTTGTTAGTGAGTCCCGTCCTATCCCATACCAGTGGGAAAGGGGAGGAAACTAAGAAAAGTAAAGCAGACGCAAAGAAAAGGAAACGCAAAGTAAAGCAGACGCAAAGAAAAGGAAACGCAAAGTAAAGCAGACCAAAGAAAAGGAAACGCAAAGGAAGGACTTGATGTATGTGATGCAATATGCGCGGGAAAGAAACGAGTATTAAGGAGCGGAATCGCGGAAACCAGCTGAGAAAACGCATCAAGCGGGAAGGCAAAATAAATAGGTAGAAGCCGAAAAGAGCAACCAAGAAAGTAGAGATGAATCGAACGGGGATGGATATCGACCCGAATATAGCGAGAATGAAATGTGCTTTGCACTGGTATATAGAAAGGAAATAGACGGAAAAAAGGGAGAATGCTGAAAAAAGGAGCCGTTCAACTTGATACACGCAGGCGGAATAAACCGGACCACAGGGATGTCAGACGAGGCTTCTTGGACCGATCTGCTGCCTGTCCCGGAGCCGTGGCAGGGGACGGAATATGCACAGACATTGCGCGCGGAAGGGGAGGCGGAGAGGATGGTCTGGAGGTAGGCAAGCGGGGAGTACCGACCAGGGACATGGAGCGGGAGGTCTGCGCGAGACGGGGATTTGGCCGTGGTTTGGGAGCAGACGGGTTTCGCTTGATTAGCTTGCGAGCTTGGGGCTCTGCTGGTGCAGTTACTGTGCGAGACATCATGGGTGGTGGATTTGGTGGGTTAGAAGTAGGAGCTGGGAGTGCCTCGGGGGCGGATGTCTTGACTTCGGCGGGAGTTGGCGTTGTAGTGCCGCTTGCCTCCTCGAGAGGAAACGATTTGGTCTTGCGGTACTGCGACTTGTAGTCCTCTCCGCTGGTCTTGGGGGTAGATAGCGTGGTGGAGGAAGCAGACGCGAGGTTCGAGGTAGGCACCAGCGAGGGACAAGACATCGAGGCCCGGCTCTCAACAACGACATCGGCCTGAGCGTCCGTCTCGTCTTTATCGGTGATATCCGTCATGGAACTCCCGGTGAACAAGCGAGAGGATGCTCTGGGCCACTGGGAGCGCCTGCTGGAGCGCGGCCGGGGCTGGGGCTCATAGATAGATCGCTGGCGTATGGCTGTAGTTTCTTCCTCGACGGTAGCAATCTGGACTGTATCTGGCACGACCATGGAGGCACGCAGCAGGGCGTAGAACCGGGGCTGTTTGGACGCCTGTTCCGCAGATGATGAGGGCGATGCTGCGGGAGCGGGAGCGGGAGCTGCCTGGAGATGCTGCAGGGGTATCAGGGGCGGGTTTGGCTGCGGGTTCTTGTTCCTGGTGAGATCGGAATCGAAGACCATGGTGTTTCGACGGGCCATGTCTGAGGATGCTGGGGTGCCCGAGGTGTGGTAGGATTGCGACCTGACTGCTACTGCTGATGCTGGCCGGGGCAATGCGGCAGCGTTGGAGGTAGCTCGTCTGGCTACAGCTGCCGAAGCAGAAGTAGCGAGACGGGGCCTAGCATCAGCAACTGAGGCGGATCTCTGGGCGGTGGATTGATGAACCTGGCGGTCGAGACTGGAGGTACTTGACGAAGCCCTTGTGTTTGTAGCAACGCCGGCTACAGCAGCAGCGGGAGAACCAGTGCCGTAGTAAGAGTGACTCCTGACCGCAGAAGGAAGAGTTCTGCGAGTAGAGGCCGCGGTATCGGCTTGAGGGAGACTGGAGGTACTGGCCGAGGCAGACGGGTTTGCCGAGTAGGCATGATATGCCTTTGGGGCACCGGGGGCAGTAGACATGGGCCTTGCAGTAGTAGACGTAGAAGCAGAAGCAGAAGTAGAAGTAGCTGCTGGCTGGCCCTGTTTATCCAAGCTGGACGAACTGTTTGATGCGGCGAGACTGGAGCCGGAGTATGCATGGTAAGACTCAGACCGGGCTGCAGAGGGTATCTGTGTCGACGCAGGCGCCTGGACAGGGACAGGGGGAGGCCTCCTGGTCGGCTGTGGAATGTGATGGACGGAGGCCAGACTGGACGAGCATGACGACGACCCAGAGGCCGACGCCGACGTAGCCGTAGAAGCGACAGCCGCAGCCGCAGTAACAGGGCCAGTGGTAAGGGCCGGGGCAGAGTATGCGTGGTAGGACTCCTTTCTGAGCAGCGATCCCGGGGAGCGCCTGACGGCGGAGACAGCCTGGTAAGCCTGTCTCTCGATGGAGGCCGCATCCGAGGAGGCCGCCGAAGCCGCCAACGGCACCGAGGAGGCCGAGTATGCATGCTGGTAGGGCTCGTTCCTGGCGGCCGCGGTGGACATGGGCCTTGCGGCGGAGGACCGGGGCGCCGGAGCATAGGAGGAGGGCTGGGACTGGGACTGGGACTGGGAGAGCCCGCCCACGGCGACGGAAAAGGGTCTATCGACGGGACTCAGGTGTCGGGTGCGAGAGGCAAGCGGCCGGCCGTTTGAAAAGGAGAAGTTCTCGCCCCAGGGGTTTGCAGCAGTAGAAGGAGTAGATGCTGGCGGTGCAGTTGTGGTGGTATCGCACTGCGGGAGGTTGTTGACCAGCGAGTGCAGCGACTGGAAGTTGCCGATGG